GTCTCTGAGTAGATGAGGATGTCGTCGATATAGACAACCACTCCTTCATCCAGTAGTTCCTTTAGCACATCATTGATCATTGCCTGGAAGGCGGAAGGGGCGTTGCATAGACCGAATGGCATCACATTGTACTGATACAGTCCATAGCGGGTTCTGAAAGCGGTTTTCCACTCATGACCTTCTGCTATCCTGATCAAGTTGAAGCCATTCTTCAGGTCTATCTTTGTGAAGATCTTGGCTTTAAACAACCTATCCCTGAGCTCACTCATGATAGGCAGCGGATACTTGTCCTTGACAGTGACCTTGTTCAACCCTCTGTAATCAACACAAATTCGCCATGTCCCATCCTTCTTAGGTATGAACAATATGGGCGCCGCTGCTGGGCTGCTAGATCTAGAGATCTTTCCTAAAGACAACTCTTTGTCCAGGTACTCTCGGAGGGCTTTCAGCTCTGGAGCGGAACATGGGTATAGGGGGCCAAATGGGGGAGCGGTACCAGACAAGAGATTGATCTTCAAATCATTTCGGGAGTGCGGAGGCAGTTCCTGTATCTTCTCTTGACTGAAGACATCAGCCCATTCCCTATAGCGGAGAGGTATCCTTTCTGCGATATCTCCTCCATCCTCATCATGCCATACTGAAGCAGCCAGTTGATATACTACATCTTCTTCTTCCATCATCTGGTATGAAGAGATGAGTTCAAACTTGATTGCTGCTGGGAGACAATTCTGCTTGCAGTAGTCACTTCGCCAGCTTATGGTATTGAGTTCCCAATTGATATCCGGGTTGTGCGTCCTTGCCCATGCAATTGGCAGGTAACCTGATATTCCTTCTTCCAAAGTAGCCACTTCCCATCGGAGTGTCTCCTTATGATCTCCCATGTTCATGTGGACTGGGTGAGTGTAATACTCTCCTCCGCCCATCATGACATCTCCTTGAGCATCATACATTGTCAGAGGTTGATCTCGCCGCACTAAGGGAACTCCATGCTTCCTGACAAAACTCTGGTTGAGGATTGCTCCTGTACAACCGGTGTCAAAGAGGAATGTCCCTTGGGCGTCTTCAACTTTGTTCTTGACCGTCCATGACAGTTCTGCTTCCAGTATTGGCCTCTTGCCATGTACTGGTAAGGATGGAAGCTTCTGTTCCATTCTTCTTCGCTTCTGTGCGGGTTCTGGGCTTGATTCTCTTTGTCTTTTCTCCATTGCTAATAGCTGCGGGCACTACTAAGATCAAAAGATCCTTTGGTTCTATTCCCAAGCAATAATATAGCAAGTGTATTGTGTGGAAGTCTGGTAGTGGGCTGGAAGTGTCTTGTAGCAAAATGTAACTTTGGCAGAACACTTACAGACCAGCTGTTTCGGGTCATAAACCCATCCTCAGAGTGCTTGGAAACAATCAAATAGGCGAAAAACACAAAAATTTATTCAAGAGAAACAAAGAAATCGAGACCCAAAGGAAAACTAGTAAACATAGACTCTAAACAGACATTTCTACCAGATGATTTCATTGTCCGAGTCTTGCTCAGGCTGAAAGACGAAATCTTCTGTCACCTCTGGGAGTACAACAAGTGGTTCCTCTGCTACAACCGCAGCCACCTTAGCTTTCTTCTGAGGATTGGTCTTGCCATTTCCTCGTTTCCGCTTTTGTACCCTCACTGCTGCCACTCGTGCTACAGTAGGTTCTCTGGACCAACAATCGGTCCATTTGTGTCTGGACTTGCCGCACTATTGCACAAGTCAGTCTATGCACTCTACCAATAGGGAGTATCGGAAGGTCATACCTTCAAGCATACTTCTGCTTTCCTTCTTTCTTCTAGAATATCCCCCGGGATACCCTTCAGTTCCACCGCTTTATCCTTGGAACGTGCTTCCTTCTGAGGTTTCGAGGAGCTTGCAGCTTCTCTCTTCCTCTTGGGGTGCCGTTCCTTCTCAGCAGGAGGATCTTTCTTGGTCCTGGCGGGTGCTTTCTCAGCTACTACCGTCTGGTACCTCTCGTGGGTGTGTCCTAGCTCTCTTAGAGCAGCTATCCGCTCCATCAGAGACTTTGGCTTGGGGGTAAAGAGAGCCCAACTCATGCCTAGGTCCGGAAGGAGGGAACTGAGGATCTTATCATCCACTAACTGACCCTCATAGCCAGTCTTCCACATCAGCTGAATAATGCTATTCAGGAAGGAGTCTATTCCTCCCTTAGCTGTGTGGGTAAGGGTGTTCCATTGGGCTACAGCATCATCCCTAGAGATGGCTTCGCCAAAGGCTGCTCTGAGAACATCCACAAAGGAATCCCAGCGCTTCCATCTCTCATCCAACACCACAGGCATCCCAGCTACCCGGTTGGCAGAAGCTTGGTCGATAGAGTTGTGGTAAGCTTCATACCACTTGACCGGAGCATCTCCTTCCATCAGGTTGCCAGCATATCGGATCCTGACCTCTTCAGAGGTAAAGGACTGGCCCTCAATGGAGAAGACGTTCTCACATTGCCGGATGAAGGTCTCCACGTTGTCTGCTTTGCCATTGAACTTGGCCGGAGGGGGTGCTTTGGGTTCTCGGGCCCTAGAGGCAGCGGAGGGGTGTGAGGGGGCCAGAGGTCTCATGAACTGTGCCATGGAGGCCAGGAGTTCTTTCTGTTGCCTCTCCAACTTCTTCCTGAGGTACCTTCGCCATCCTCTCCTGTCACCATCCTCAGGCTCTGAGTCTGAACTGTCTGAGTCCCCTCCTGGGTTGGGAGCGCCGCCAACTGGGGGGACAATTCCATCTCCTCCACCATTACCCGCTGGTTCTGGGTTCTGGTTTTCTCCACCAGGGTTTCCTTCTGGCTGGAGGTTCCTCCTAGGTGACTCCGGGGGTGGTGAGCCTCTGTGGGATTCTGGGGATAACCCCTGGCGAACCCAGGCTGGAGGGAGCCCGGAGGGACCACTCCTGACTGGTGTCTGGGAGTAGTAATCGTCGTCTCCTATAGGTTGTCGGGGGGGCCTTGCTAGGCCGCCTGCCAACGGGCTTGATGGGGCTCTCTGAGGAGGTAAGGGTGAGCCTCCAATGGCCGCTGGCATCATCAGGGGAAGTGTCCTCTGCCTGATGGACCTGACTGGAAACGCTGCAAAGGGGTTCACCCTTTGGTGGAAGGTTCTCAGGGCCGCTCTGGATGAGGCCCTGGAGTTTTGCGGAGGTGCGGGATTGGGGACAGGTGCTGGTGTAGGCATCCTGGCGATGGAGAGCCTTCCTTCATTAATAGCTCTCTGGATGTCTTCCAGGAAGTTAGGGGGCATCGCCGGGCTTGTCCACTCAATATCCTCCATCTCGTCCGTTCCTAAATCATCCCTCTGAGCATAACTCTGGAGTTGTGCCTGTACTGAGGAGACTTGTTCCTGCATGTAGCCAAAGGCATTCCGGAGTAGGACTGCCTCAGCTTCTTGTCTTTCTTGCACCAAGGCTAGCGCATTGCCGGCCTTGATGACTTCCTGTTGCAGGCTGTGCTTCAGGTAGCGCTGCAATTCCGTAAAGAAGTCCTGTAGGGTGACTTCGTCGGTATCTTGCCAGGTGGGCTCACATCCGGGGATGTAGGACTGGAGCGCCGTCCTGGGCTTGTGGATCATCTGTGTCTGTCCCTCTTGGAATTCTAAAGCTGCCGGTTGCCATTCAATCTGAAGAGGCGCTTGGGGAGCCGGGAGGGCGGACATGTTGTGAGAGGAAAGAATAATCTGAAGGTGATTTGAGCACTAAAGATTATCTGTAACGGGGACAGCCTTTCCACGTATCGCTAGAATCCGATAGAAAGATGTGGCCGTGCAAGATAGAAATCAGGTGCAGATTTATTCAAAGATACTATCGCTTAGAACTCAATAATCTTTAAGGGCTCTGCTACCGATAATGGTCTACCCCCAGATGAGGATCAGGTCGGTTGGGCGGGAATGATCCTGAGTACTTATACTCCAAAGGATTCTATTCTCTGCTCCTACTTCCTTACTAAGTTCCGGTGCTGCCTTCTAGTGGAAGGGAAGCAATACCATCGCTACCCCGCTTCTCTCTAAGCGTCAGCGAGTGCTTCCGATTCCGAAGGCAACCACCCTTAGTCAAAGCCTTTGTAACACCTGCAGCCTTTGTTGCCACACAACTAGGGGCCTGCATGAATGAGCTGCCGCTCAGGTGTAAGCTTAATCACTGCTGTAGAGCTTCCGCTTATTGTAGACTTCCCAGGCATAGTCTCTTCCACTGCTGGCGGACTTCTAATGCTCAGAGGATGTGGAGGATCGCTGAGCACTCAGAGCTTCACTCTGGCTAGCCTTCTAATCATTGGCGAGGCACAGACTCGTCAGTCATTACTCCCATGAGTAGATCCTCTTCCTAGCGCTCAGAATGTAGTTACTCTGACAGTTGGTAGCTAACCACACTGCCGGTACTTGCATGTCACTGTGCAACTGGCTTCTAACAATAACTCTCAGCATGTAACCGGGCCCTGTGTGTACTCATACACCAGACAGTTGAAATGGCTCCGTTACAATGCTATAATCATCTTCCTCAACGTGAAGGAAAGCCGGGTTCAACGGGGGGGATTCCGCACCACCCAGGTTAGCACCCGCGCCTGCTCTGTGGAGGACTGCCAATATCCTCCGAGGCCTGGCATTGCTGTTCTTCAACCAACCTTCGAGCTCCTCTGAATCGGTAATTTGTACCTCCACCGGCCGAACGGGAGGAACAACTGCCGGGGGGACATTCTCAATTGCCCCCCAGATAGTCCTGACTGCTCTGCCAGGTGCGGTGTGCTTCAGGATCAAGTTGCATAGCTCGGGGAAAGTTATCTTGATCAAAATTCCGATGAACGAAGATTCGTTCAGGGGATCATTCCAGTCATAAGTAGGTGGTGGGACGAGCATAAAGAATGCCCCTAGAGCATCGGGGTCCACCACGGTAACCATTATGGAAGGTCGCACGAGTTCCGGAGGTACTGCACGCTCTTTCCCTTTGCGAGAGCGTCTTCCGGCTGCCTGACCACCGCCGTCATCATCATCATCACTATCACCGGCAGCCTCTTTGAACTGACGGTCTCCCTGTCCCCTTGATAACCTATCCTTCATACCAACATCTGCGATGAGCTACTGTAGAGCACTCGCCAGTGCTCTACGGGCATCGGAGTCACCCCCAGTCCAAATTGGCAGAAAACCGTTGAGGGAGGGCAAGTTCATCAAGTAAAGGCATAGGGCATTGAACGCAGCCATACCGGACGTGCTTTTATTGACCCAACCCACATTTTGCATTTCCGCCTTTAGGCTGTTGCGGATGCTGGTGTACACTTTAGGTAGGTTGAGTAGACCTAAAGTCATCTTCGCTTTGCTTGCTTGAGTCATCTTGAATGCGGTCGAGCTCGGGGATGTCTCTTGAATACTCGGGGATGTCTCTTGAACACTCGGGGATGTCTCTTGGACAATCGGCGATGGCTCGGGTCTAATTCGTCTCTGTCGTACTGGTGAGGGGTGGTCTATTAGTTCGGACGGGCTTGCACTAGAAAATAACCGAGGGGGCGTCGGGGCTTGAATGTAGGGGTCTCCGGTGCAACAACCTTCGGTGGAGCACTGACGGGTGCTGGTGAGGGAGTAGTAGAGCCTGCTGGGCCTGTTGAGCGGCCTGTTGCTGGGCCTGTTGAGCGGACTGCACTAGACTTGGACCGAGTGAGAACTTGACTTGGGACTATGGTCTTCCGGGCAACGTTCTTTTGTGGAGCACTAGCGGGTACTGGTGGGGTAGCACTAACCCTAAGTACGGTCGTCCGTACAAGGGCCTCTGGTGAAGCACTGCTGCGTGCTGAGGAAGCAGTGGAGACTGCTGCTAGTGGGCCTGTTGCTGGACCTGTTGCTGGGTCTTGATCGTCACTTATGTATGGTTCAGAGGGTTCGGAACTAAAGTCGGGAAAGGAGTCAGAATCAGTTAGGGTTGCTCCCCAGTTACTCGGGAAGATCCCTTCAGTGTCCGATGGAGCTAGGTTAGTATTTGGCGGAGTCCGGGTTTCAGTCCGGATTGGTGGAGGTACAGGGTTTTGTTTTCGGCTCTTGTTGATCGGGGTGAACCCGGAAAGCACTGGCGACTGCTTAGGGGGTGTTTCTGGTATCTCCTCCGGGATAGGCTTGACAGTTTTGCGGGACGATTTGCGACCTGAGGAAGTTCGGTGTTTCTTATGTTTTCGGGACGATTTGTGTTTCTTGGTTTTTCGGTGGGTCTTTTCGTTATCGTCTTCGTCTATGTCACGCAAGCGCTTCTTATTGGGAAGTTGATTTGTGTTCTGTGAGCTACCGGGAGTGCTCTGAGCGGTGTTTGGAGTCTGATAATGTTAATGTATCACTGTGGTGAGTATGGTTCTAAAATTAATTGGATTAGGAGAGAGAAATACCATCTTATTTATAAAGATTGCAAAGGTTAAATCGCTTGAAAACGGAGGAACTTGAAGGATGAGATTTCAACAGGTAATGTTGAAAGCAATGGAAAACTTGAAGTGATAGGTAGAGGAGAACTTGAAGGTGGTTAGGAACTTCTCACGAACTTGAAGGAAGGGAGGGGTGCTCTTATACCGAGTACGATCAGCTTTTTTCTTGAGCTTATCACGCTTCCGAGAGCACCCACGAATGCTCTAGAAGCACTCGAGGGTGCTCGTACTCAATGTTTGCTTCAATATATGACGTTGATCTAAATGCTCCAGGCGCACTCGGGGATGCTCTGACGGTACCAATGGTGACGTCGATAACATTCTGGTGTTGGGGTTGGTGCTTGTGTTCTTGTTGGTGTTGGTACTCTGTCCTCTAGGAAGCTGATTCGGAGAGAATGTATTCTTTGAGCTCGTAGTCGATATTAGTGTTGAATTTGGCGCTGAGAACACTGTCTCGATCTGAAGAGACTCCGCGAGTGCTCAGGGAGAGAGTGCAGATGCTCAGGGCGATAGAATCTAGCATAACTGGCCGCCTGATTGGGGTGGTGGGTGTTTCTTCGTGTTGGTGTTGATGTTTGTATTAGGTTGGTGATGTATGACATCAGACTCGTATTGAAAATCAGCCTTGCCGACCGGGGTGCAGGTGAGAGGAGCCTCATTGGCTGACAAATCAAATCATTCGAGCACTCTGCAGCAGCACCTGCAGGAAAGAGCCTCCTCGGCCTTGGCAGAAACCAAATTTTCAGAGCACTCAGGAGTGCTTTGCTAGCATCATGAGACTTCAATGAAATCGTCTTGCCCCTTTTGCAGCAAGCGGTACAGCTCCTCCGCGAACTTCGATAAACATCTTCGAACTACACATCCATTTGAAGCAGATGAATGGCTGGGAAACCAATTTTTACTCCTGGAGCGCGATAAAGAGGCACCCGATGACACTCACGACAGCCCGGAAGGCATTCACGATTCCTATTCAGATGCCCATGACGACTCGGATAGTTCGGAGAGCAACAGTATCAATTATTATGACCAAGATCCCGATAATAATTCAGATCTGGAATCCGAATCACATTTTATGATGGAAGAGACAGATGGAGATGCAAATAGGCATGAGGCAGCGACAACGATTTACGAGGGTGCTGGGGAGCATCTCTACCGCTCGGAGGACTACGACGAATGCTCACAAAACCTTCTCCGATACCCGTGGCACCCATTCAACTCAGCATACGAGTTTAGAATGGCACGTTATTTCATACTGTCGAAGGCCTCACAAGGAAATATCGACAGTTTCTTTCTACACGCTCCGTCAAGCAGTGGCGAATGCTCCTACCAGACTGGGCGAGGTTTTATAAAGAGATTGGAGGAAATGAATGACATATTGGGAAAGGCGAGCTGGCATCATTCGGAGGTGTATATTGGGGGAGAGAAAATCCCTTACTATTACCGGGATCCAATGGTAATTGTGCGATATCTTCTAGGCCAACGGGCCTTTCGGGAGTCATTGGTGTACGCGCCAGTGGTAGAGCATAATGAATCTGGCGAGAGAATGTACGGGGAAATCCATACGGGAGATTGGTGGTGGGAGACGCAGGTCTGGTAAGCCTCACAAGTGCTCTAGAGGCAGTCGCTAATGCTTTCTGGACAGAATACCTTACCGGAGGGGTCGACTGTGGTACCAATTATATGCGCGTCAGATGGCACACATTTGACAAATTTTAGTGGGGACAAGAAAGCCTGGCCAATCTATCTTACCATCGGGAACATCAAGTCATCGGTCCGGAGCAAGCCCACCGGGCATTCGTTAATTCTCCTACCGCTACTGCCAGTCCCACCTAAGCTCGGGAAGAACTCACTCGCTAATTCCGCTTTACGACGTCAGAGTCCAATAGCGCTGCATCGCGCCCTTGGGGAGATCTTTCAGAGCATTCGGGAGTGCTCTCAGGAAGGCGAGCTAATCGCATGCGCCGACGGGTACGAACGTCTATGCTTTCCGGTGTTGTCGGGTTGGATCGCTGATCAACCTGAGCATTCAAACTTACAAAATATTAGTACTAGCTCTTGTCCAAGATGCGAGGTGGAATTCCACAGTCTTGGGAGCACTCGCCGGAGCCCTACTCGCGATCACGAGGATTACCGGGAGAGGGTAAAGCTATTCAGGGAGAACCCGGGAAACCTGGGACCGGTGGAATACCTTGTCGCGAGATCAGTAAAGACACTCTTCAATGCTTTCTGGGGTATGCCGAGGGTTAATCCATACGATCTCAACAAACCGGACATTCTGCACAATATCTACCTAGGGATGTTGAAGCACATGATGGAGTGGGTTCAGGCTTTCTTGAAGAAGCACAATCGATTGGAGGAATTTGACAAGGCTTGGGCCTCGATTGCGCCTTACCCTGGACTGGCAGTACCGAACAAGGCATATCGTGCCACAACCCAATGGCAAGGGAAGGAGATGAGAAATCTGGGGCGGGTCGTTCTTGGAGCACTCGCGGCTGCTTTGAGAAACCCGGGGGTGGCTGTCAGGGGCGACTTCGCAAAGGCATTGAAATGTGTACGAGGCTTAATCGACTTCCACTCAATGGCGCAGTATGGGAGTCATACGACGAGCACACTGAATTATATGGAGAGCTATCTCGAGGATTTCCATAAGCACAAGGATATCTTTTTAGAATTCCGGGCGTACAAGAGGACGGTTAAGGATGCGAGAGATCGGACAAAAGCTGTGAAGACCTCAGGCTCCCAGAGCGCTCAGCGAGGTTTGGAGGAGATTCGCGAGATACGGGAAAGGTCTCACTTCAACTTCATCAAATTGCACGTGTTAACTCACTATCGGGAACATTTCGAGCGCTTTGGGAGCATTCCCCAGTACTCCACCGACATCAGCGAACTCGCCCATGTACGTCAGATAAAAGAGGCATACGGAGCATCCAACAAGGTCGATGCTGCAACGCAGATACTGGACTATGGGGCGCGGCGGTTGGCGTTAGAGATTCGAATGCTGAATCTGAAAGACATTGTTGGAGGTCCTGAGAGCACTGACGACATCCTTTGGAGCCATCGAGATAACCTGAAGGAGTTACTTGAGATTTTTAAAATCGAAGACCGGAAAAAAAACACCAAATGAACGATCCATAGTAGAAGGCCGACTGCCTCTAAGGCGTCTTTGCAACCCCTCCACGAAATCGGAAAGACTTTTCAATATTGCGGATGGACTGCAAATAAGCCATACCACGTTATATCGCCTGATAAAGGAGTATGCAGAGGATGCGGGATGCTCTCAAAGCTTTGCCGGAAGCTCTGAGAGCATTTTAGAGCGCCGGGTGGAGATGTTCACATGTTTGCAGGTTCCGATACCAATCTTCCAAAGACATGAGGTGTACGAGGTTCACAATATCAGGTGTACGGGAAACGCGGCTTTTAGGAAAGGGAAAATAAGAAAGGATTGGGTATGGGTGTCGGTAGCGTCCTCAGAGGAGTGGGGAGTGTTTCGGGGACGCTTACCAGAACGTGTCGAGGCTTTGTTCAAGCTGCGGGACAGTGGGGGGCGAGCACATAGACTATGTATAGTGGAGCTACTCGAGGCAAAGGATCGTGGTATCGCTGATAGTTCACATGGGCTCCTGAAGGTTTGTAGGAGGAGGAGGAAGAGGATGTGGGTCGTTAATATTCGGAGTATATTGAGAATGGCCCATTTGTTTGAGATGGAGACTGGTAATTGGTTAGTAAATACTAGGATAGACTTGCGTACGTGGAATGAATTTAGTTGAATACTTGTAAAGCCGTGAGGGCATTCTTGAGTGCTCTAGGAACGTTAGACCCAATTGGACTCTCTAATTCAAAATTCGTGTCGTTCTGCTATGCATGCGGATTGGAAGAAGGAGGTAAAGTTTCGGCCGCTCAGTATCTGAGTCTGGCTATCCAGCAAGCTCGCTCCAGGAGGTCAATGCCAGTCCATGTTTGCTGCTTATGCATGGACATTGAGCTTTTCAGACGAGCCGTACCATGGCCTCAACCTCAAGGCTAATTATGCCTTTCACGAATCGACAGAAACATACACGTCCGTCAAAGGTTGGGTAGTCGTCATCAGTATACAGGACAGTGCTCGTATCAGTATCCCGCGACTGACCGTACAGCGGTGTTGAGGATACCCACGTTAGATATCTTTTGAGGGACTGGTGCGGCCTTCCTATCCTTTGAGGACGGTGTATCAATCCAAAGGAGCCCAAATGAGGGTTGCCTCACCTTGAGTGGGTATGACGAATGCCTCAGCTCTGTGAGCATTGGTGAGTGCTCTGGGAGCACTCGCGGAAGCCCTCGCGGGAGCGTTCGCGGGAGCGTTCGCGGGAGCGTTCGCGGGAGCATTCGCGGGAGCATTCGCGGTGCCGTGAGAGCATTCGCGGTGCCGTGGGAGCATTCGCCGTGCCGTGAGAGCATTCGTCGTGCCGTGAAAGCATTCAAGAAAACTGTGAGAGCATTGGGAAGTGTTCGCGTGTACTACTGACGTAATCAAAAGAAGCAAAAGTTCCTAGTTGCTGTGGGCGGAGTCACTCCATCCTAGCGTCTCCGGAGGGGGAGGGAATCTCATGGTGGCCCAGGCGACCAGAGCATTGGCGAGTGCCCTCCGGACGTGAGCCATATCTCCTGGCGGTCCCAGAGAGTGGGACGGTCCTGCGGTGGAGCCTGGCGCGAAGGTTGTACTCTGGCGGTGCCGGACGCGCTGGGCGCTTGTGGCGCAGAATGCCCGCCAGGACGTAGGGGCTGCGCCCTGGGTAATAGGCGAGCTTGCTGATGCGGTGTGGTAGCAACTCTTCTGCTCTCCCCTTATAGAAAATAGTCACGGTGCCCCCAGACTGTTTTGAAATGCGGGGGCGGCCAGTGAAAAAAGGAAAGAGGGAAAGAACGAAGGGCGCCGAACTTCGATAAAAGAACTCGGTTGCCACAGGTTGGTCTCGGAGGGATCAGGGAGTCTTTACCAGCAAGGAGACCCCTTAAGGTTATTAAGTTTCTAGACTACAAATAACGATCAAACAAATAAAACTCTATCTTTCAATCGAACGACCCCAATTATAACTTTTTCTATTGCTTTTCACTTATCTACCTGATCGAAGTCACCATCATGCCCCATCATGGCACTCCCGTTACAGCTGCGGTCCAATACCATTTCTTGTCATTTTAGAAGAGGTCGGTCAACGGTTTGCAAACTTTACTGAAGCCTTCAATGAAGCGGCGATAGAAGTTTGCAAATCCCAGGAAGCCTTGAACTCCTTTGATATTTCGAGGCACTGGCCATTCCTGTACCGCCTCTACCTTGTCCTCTGACATAGATACTCCCTTTTCCGAAATATGACAGCCGAGGTATTCTACTTCTCGGATATAGAAGGATGTTTTGCTGATGGAGGCACACAGTTTAGCTTCCCTGAGTTTCTGTAGAATCTTCTCCACCAGCCTTTCATGCTCTTCCTCAGTCTCCGAGTAGATGAGAATGTCGTCGATATAGACGACAACTCCTTCATCCAGTAGTTCCTTCAGCACATCATTGATCATTGCCTGGAAGGCGGAGGGGGCATTGCATAGACCAAATGGCATTACATTATACTGATACACTCCATAGCGGGTTCTGAAAGCACCCTCTGCTATCCTGATCAAATTGAAGCCATTCTTCAGGTCTATCTTCGTGAAGATCTTGGCCTTGAAGAATCTATCCCTGAGCTCGCTCATGATAGGCAGTGGGTACTTGTCCTTGACAGTAACCTTGTTCAAACCTCTGTAGTCAACACAGATTCGCCAGGTATTGTGGGTTTCCACAAGTAAGCGTACATTCACGTTGCAACCAAAATTTGTATGGGAATGCAACTTCAAAAGCGTATTTCTCCACAACCACAAGGAGATGGAGCAAAGAAATCTTAGATATGGATTCTCCGGTAGGGATAGTATCTACAGCTAAAATGTCAGTTCGAAAGGGCGAGTTTGAAATTTTGATGTTGTTAGGTGGTTTGTATGGTTACCACCTCAATGTTCGCTTACTTGTGGAAACCCGCAATACCATCCTTCTTAGGTATGAACAATATTGGCGCCGCCGCTGGGCTGCTAGATCTGGAGATCTTTCCCAAAGACAACTCTTTGTCCAGGTACTCTTGGAGGACCTTCTGCTCTGGAGCGGAACATGGGTATAGCAGGCCAAATAGGGGAGCGGTGCCAGGCAAGAGATTGATCTTCAGATCATTTCGGGAGTGCGGAGGCAACTCCTGTATCTTCTCTTTACTGAACACATCAGCCCATTCCCTATAACGGAGAGGTATCCTCACAGCTATATCTCCTCCATCCTCATCTTGCCATACTGAAGCGGCCAGTTGATACAGTACATCTTCTTCTTCCATCATTTGGTATGAAGAGATGAGTTCAAACTTGATCGTTGCTGGGAGACAATTCTGCTTGCAGTAGTCACTTCGACAGCTTATGTGTTACGGGAACTACGGAGCACTGTTCTAAGAGGCTTAGGACAATGAGGAATACGAGTGACGGGTTGTGATGCAAGGACGGTCGGGTAACGAAAGGACAAGCATAGAAAGGTATCGGGTAGTGTGGGAGCACGCGGTGTTACCACACTAGTGTTATACTATTATGACGGCACGCTTACTATTGGGTGCCTCACCCGGAATAGAATAGGAAGCGGGGCTTACGGCTGTAGGCTGTTCTACTTAGGGAAGTAGGTCTAGGATAATAGTATGGTACAGCCCGATGACTGGCAATTGCAAGGTTCATGGTTACGTGTCGGAATTAGAATGGAGGACGGAACTATGCGGGGGCGCTTTTCTATCTGGGTTATCTTCGGGAGCATTATCTTATTCTATTATCGTTGTGTCAGTTAGTATTAGAAAGCGGGCCTTGGCATAGGTTCCAACATGTATAAATAGGGCTTGATTCTCCGAAGACTTGAGGGTATCATCAACCATCAAGTCAAGGGAATCCGGTTTACAATATCATCAGTTTAAACGCTACAGAATTATCGCTTAGCACTGGCTATTTCCCCAAACATTATGGTATTGAGTTCCCAATTGATATCCGGGTTATGCTTTCTTGCCCAAGCAATTGGCAGATAGCCAGATATTCCTTCTTCCAGGGTAGCCTCCTCCCAACGGAGTGTCTCCCTATGTGCTCCCATGTTCATGTAGACTGGGTGAGTGTAATACTTTCCTCCAGCCATCATGACATCTCCTTGAGCATCATATATTGTCAGAGGTTGATCTCGTCGCACTAAAGGAACTCTATACTTCCTGACGAAACTCTGGTTGAAGATCGCTCCTGTACAACCGGTGTCCAAGAGGAAAGTCCCTTGGACATCTTCAGCTTGATTCTTGACCGTCCATAACAGTTCTGCCTTCAGTATTGGTCTCTTGCCATTTACTGGTAAGGATGGAAGCTCCTCTTCCAACATTCTTCGCTTCTGAGCGGGTTTTGGGCTTGGTTCTGTAACGGAGCCATTTCAACTGTCTGGTGTATGAGTACATACAGGGCCCAGTTACATGTTAAGAGTTATTGTTAGAAGTCAGTTGCACAGTGATATGAAAGTACCGGCATTGTGATTAGCTACCAGCTGTTAGAGCAACTACATTCTGAGTACCAGGAAGAGGATATACTAATGAGAGTAATGACTGATGAGTCTATGCTTCGGCAATGACTAAAAGGCTAGCCAGAGTGAAGCCCTGAGTGCTCTGTGATCCCCTACATCCTCTGAGCATTATAAGCCCACTGGTAATTGTAGGGACTATTCCTGGGAAAGTCTACAATAAGTGGATTGCTCTACAGCAATGATTAAACTTACACTTGAGCAGCAGCTCATTCATTCAGGTCCCGGTTATGCGACAACCAAGGCTACAGGTGATACAAAGGCTTTGACTAAGGGTAGTTGCTTTTGGAACCAGAAGTACCTGCTAACGCTTAGGGAGAAGTTGGGTAGCAGTGGTTTTGTTTCCCTTCCATCAGAATTCATCTACTAGAACTTAATAAGGAAGTAGGAGCATGGAATGGAATTCTTTGTAGCCTAAGTACTCAAAATCCTTCCCGACATAATATCCGATTTCTAAAGTTTTCAACAGAAAACGTATATTCTACTTGGTAGCAGAGCCCTTAATGATTATTGAGTTCTCGCGATAGAATCTTTGAATAATCTGCAATTTATTTCTATCTTGCATGGCCGCATTTTTCTATTCAATTCCAGCGATATATAGAAAGACTATCCCCGTTACAGCTAGTAGGGATCCTAAATATGACACCTCCCCTTTTGATTCCCCACCACCTACCAAAACGCAACCCACTATGGTAAATCTACTAAAGTCCTGGCACTAACCCTTAGCTCACTAGCGAATGAGGTTGGGTTTGACATCTCGAGTATCTCCACCTACTTACCTACCTGACTAGCTGTCTACCTGCTGTCTTTTTGCCTATCTAACTACCTTCCTCTCGACACCTACCACAATACCTACTTTTACATTCATCTCCCTAAAGTACGATCCTAATCAGGTTCAAATACTTTATCCTAAATAGCATAATTCCCGAGTCTAATGATATAGCTACGTAGGGATGGATTTTCTTGCTCAATCGATGGAATTTTAATCTCTGCTACCATTTCTCTGAAGTTCTGATTGTCATTAGCGTCGTCTTTTTGAGACCGAGTTTTGGTACAAGAAGTAAAGTAAGAAACAACCCTTGGGTTCGGCTTCTTTAGTCACTTCTTCAGCTTTCTTGACAATATATTCTTGAAATAGACCAACTTAAATACTTGTTTGAATACATGATCGTGGTATAAACCATGCGTGTGACAGCTGATCTCGATGAAATCGATAAAATTTGTGCTGGATTCATCTAAAACTGCCGAGAATTTCGATAGGGATGCTGTTACCAAATCGGTCCCGGTAATAGTCAAATTTTGCAGGGAATAATGGTTGCTCTTGCCTTCTTGCCTCTTTTTGGTTTCAAATATAGGTACAATGGCTGCTTAGTTAAATTCAGACTGTTTTAGGTTCTGTAACTAGTGTACGGTAATTCTTTCCAGTGAGGATAATACAACATTTTGCTGACTGTCTCTGTATCTTTGATAGTTGTTGACGTTGTAACGGTGCCATTCCAACTGTCTGGTGTATGAGTACACACAGGGCCTGGTTACATGCTGAGAGTTATTGTTAGAAGCCAGTTGCACAGTGACATGCAAGTACCGGCAGTGTGGTTAGCTACCAGCTGTCAGAGTAACTACATTCTGAGCGCTAGGAATAGGATCTTCTCATGGGAGCAATGACTGACGAGTCTGTGTCTCGCCAATGATTAGGAGGCCACCCAGAGTGAAGCTCTGAGTGCTCGGCGATCCTCTACATCCTCTGAGCATTGGAAGTCCACCGGGACTATGCCCGGGAAGTCTACAATAAGCAAAAAGCTCTACAGCAATGATTAAGCTTACACCTGAGCGGCAGCTCATTCATGTAGGCCCCAGTTGTGTGGCAACCGAGGCTATAGGTGTTACAAAAGGCTTTGACTAAGGGTGGTTGCCTTCGGAACCGGAAGCACTCGCTGACGCTTAGACAGAAGCGGGGTAGCGATGGTATTGCTTCCCTTCCGCTAGAAGGTAGCACCGGAACTTAGTAAGGAAGTAGGAGCAGAGAATAGAGTCCTTTGGAGTATAAGTACTCAGGATCATTCCCGCCCAACTGTCCACATCCTCTATCTTCGGAATGACCGGTAGCAGAGCCCTTAAAGATTATTGAGTTCTAGCGATAGTATCTTTGAATAAATCTGCACCTGATTTCTATCTTGCACGGCCGCAACTATTCTATTGGATTCTAGCGATACATAGAAAGACTGCCCCCATTACAGACGTTCACAAGATCTCGTAATTACAGGGAGATTGACATAGTAAGCATTGCTGCTTTGTTCACTTATGGAATGAGAAAATATGTAGTGAAGGATGATTTTATTTTAATATTATAAGTTGTAGAATGAGATGAATTATTCATCTCAAATGCCTGCTTGACACGAGCTCTGATTACTTTAATATGATTTATTGTTTCCCTTTATTACGAACATTATGTCGGCCTAACTCTCAAGTACATACAACAAATTGGTTACGTGAATTGGAGTGAGTCATAATCAATTTCTAGTAAGTTCTATAGTATTATTCATCGGATGTTCTCTCCTTATTCCTTGTTATATAAGGATCTCTTACCCTCTTTGTCTATCTTTTCTTTCTTCTCTACATAACATTTTGTATTATACCTTGAGGCATAATTTTAGGGGATTTACCTTGCTTCAATATGCATTCTATCTAAAGTTACGTTGCCTCTGATGTCCTAAGTGAGTACCTCTATTGTCATCGTTATCCTCTGTGTACTCTCTACCCTCACTGTTCTCCTGGTGACCCTCACCACCCTTGCTGTTCCCCTATCGGTCGCAATGACCCTCGCCCTTGCGCGAGCCATCCTCGTTCTTGCGCGAGCCATCCTCTGGACCTTCGCGTACACCACTGAACTCGTTTTAGTACAAGCCCTCCTGATGTCTCTCAGCCACTATTGCTATTCCTCGCTCATAGTTCCTTACACACTGCCATCCACACCCTTGAGCGAGTTACTCTCCGCACCTTCACGTGTACCACTGCTCTCGTTTTAGTACAAGCCCTCCTGATGTCTCTCAGCCCATATTGCTATGCCTCACCCATGGTTCCTTACACCCTTGCTCTTCGTTTGGTTGACAAAAGGGATGTAAAATTTGTCTTGTCAAGCTCTTTTCCTTTTTGTTTATTGTTCGAGTGTAGGTAAATCCATTATTACTGGAGGAACAGTTTTGGAGCAAATTAGGAATTCTATAAATTTTGTGAAGTTCCTACGTGATTTACTAACTTGAACGATCTCAGGCTCAGGCTCAGATGACAAGAAATAAGCTCGGATTCAATATGAATGATATAGTTGATGACAAAAGAAAACAAAAGAGACGAGACTATATGATACAGGACTAGCTAGTGTTGACACGGTTTCTCCTTGTGACCTGATTTGACCCGTGGTCTTGACATGGCTCCACGAACGCCTCGCCTGCGCCACAGCCTCTCGGTATTTAAGGTGAACCCCCGGTACATGTACTTGCCAGATTTTTCTGTGTCCAGCTGTTTCTTCCTCATCCGGAAATATGGGAGTGCTACGAAGCAACAGCCCTAAAACTTCGTTGCGACTCTTCCGTATCAGGAAGAATAGGTTCGCTGGACACAGAAAAAAATCTGGCAAGTATTATCCCTTAACCCGTCAATTGCTGACCCACGGTAATATAGGATTAAAAATGTATGGGAGATCTGTTATTTGATAAGGGGAGATAACAAGATCGGTTAGGAAAGCCACACAGATTTGCTTTTTCTCGGGGTGGCAGCAATTAACCGACAGACGAAGGGATACCTCTCTTCTTGGTCAAATTATGCGGCTCTTTAAAGAAGTGCGGCGGTGCGTGGACAAGCAAAGGGTCAATTCACAAAAAAAAAACATTGGTAACATAACGAACGGTTCAGTGCCATCTCGTGACAAAGAAAGCGTCTCCAATCAGCGCGTGTGCACAATGGAGGGAACGATTTTTTTTCCTAACCAGGGAAATTCTTTCAAAGCGAAATCCAGCTGAAGGGAGGGGTGGGAATGTGTTGGCAAGATCTTGATGGGTGTAACTTTACGTTTTACTACATACTTACATTCTGTGGTAGCCTTGGAAAAAGTGCGACGAGAAACATCGTGGCCTATCGAGTGGTTTGTTTGGATATTCACGGGGCGTATCTATAAAATTTTCCAGTGGGCCATGGAAATAAATGGTCAGACAAGGTAGGCAATTCACGCAAGGCTTTTATTATCAGACTCAAAGAGAGGTTGAGAGTTCTTTGGGGTCTTGAGTAGGATGATAGGAGACCAGGCACCGTATGGGTGTTTCTTCTTCGGGGGTGGTGATGCTCGTGATGATTTAAATTATATATTATTCTTTTCGTGCATCCTCTCCAGCTGAGTCGCCAACAGCGAAACGCCCATTCCTTCCTTTAGGCCACGGACACAACAGCATAAGACTCTTCCGCTCAAACTTCCGATCACCCCCTCAACATCTAGATAACTGACGACAGACAGCCCTCACCCTCTCGCAGGATTCATATCACATCCCCAATACCCCCTCCCCTTCCCCCTCCTCCCCTTCCCCCTAAATCACTATCTACCCATCTCTGATCAGGTCTGCTTCCCCCAAGCGATGCCAACACAGCTCTGGAATCAACATATGTACAGCAAGCTTTGCCCTCTCTAGATCAGATTAATTTTCTTCGTTTCCCCCTTAAGCTATAAAATACCGTGAATAATCAATCGCACTAAAGAACAAGCTTGTTCTAAACATCCGCTTGTTCCTTTCGGCTACATAAATATACGCCTTCCATCACGTCATTTTCCTCCCGGATATATCCTCGTTTTCCGAAAATCAAAATCCCACCCCATCGCGCCTTTTCTCGAGGAAAATTATCCACGACAATGACGGAAGTGCCGTCCGAGGTATCGTCGCCCGTCGCATCGGCAACGGGAGGTCTTGCTGCTGGAGATTTGAGCGTTATTCCCCACAGGTCAGCCTCGAACAAACTCCCACCACAAAGCTCCACCCACTCGAGCGACAACAAAGACCGTGGAGGTCATGTCCAAGCAGATACTCGCCCTTCTTCGGTTGATGCTGATGAACGTCGCAGCAGCAACGGGCGTGAAGCTTCTCGTGGAGCTGGTGTAAATATTTCGCAGTCTTCAAGCGTCTCCGGGGGAGCCGGGGGTGGCGGCAATGGAGTTGGAGGAGTTGGGGGAGCAGGAGGTGGTGAAAGAGGTGGGAGCGGCAATCATACCGGTGGACTCGGGCGGAAACAGCAGACAAGCTTCTTCTCGGGAGCAAGATTAAACACTTGAAGAAGCCCGACGGTGTACCGCTTTGGAGAAAAGATATCCAATTTGAGTTCTTGGAGGCCATATTTACAGACTCGAAGCAGGTCTTTACGAACAGCTATGACGGAAGGAAGGAATGCACTTTTGCGGATGTGTACATTGATGCCATGGCCCGGAGCAGCAAAACTAGCAAGATCTTAAGGGATAAGCTCATGAGTGAAAGGGCTAATGCGTTGAACATGGCCATGGTTTGTTTGTTGGTGAATGTGGGAAGGATGAATACAACGTTGAATTGTGAGTTATTGCCCCATGCCCGGCTGAGAGATCATTGGCATGGTAGTTGTTACCATGGACTCAGTGAATGGAGAATATACAGCTAATATGTTCCTTTGCTGCAGTTTTCCCCGAAATGAAGGCTCAACTGCGAACTTACCATGCCATCCCCTCACTACAGTCATATACTGATGCGCACGCATACAAACAACTTCAAGACGCACCACGGTTGAAATCAATTCTTAAGGGCGCATGCGAGGATCGTAAAGAACCATTAACTCTTGAGCAACTAGAAGGAATGGAAGTTCCCCGAACAAACCCAATAAATCTAGTCTTTCTTCTTTCAACATATGCACCAAAGGTTTCTGAGCTGCATTTTCCTGAGTCTAGGGACTTTTACGATCTTATTATGAGGAGTACCCTTTCAAGTAAGAGTAGGGCAAGAGCTTTCCTATGGCTGATGTGGTGGTATCTTGAAGGGGATTTTACGATAAAATCAGCCGAAGATAATCCCTATGGGAAAGGCCAAGAGGCAAAAGATGGCGGGATACCTTGCAGGGTCCCACAGTTTGAACATTTAACTGAGGACCAGGCCGCTTTGGAGAACGTCGATGCGACTCAGGAAATAGAGTTTGGAGAACGAATGCAAAAAGAGCGAAAGAGTATGTGATTCCTGCCCATGCCTTTTTCATGCTGGAGGTTCCTGTATAAGCCGGAAACGTGAATGTATGAAGATATGGGTGGACTTATGCGTAGGACTGACACACGAGATAGAGTTGATTGAGGATATTGGAAATGCGCCTGCACCGTCCGCTGGAAAGAAAGGAAAAAAACGTAAGTAACCGCCTCGTATACAGGCGTTTGCCTTAGTCAGCCCTCTTTATATAAGGGAACTCTCTCATGTAGGTTCTAATTGAGATTCTTTTATAGATATCGCCCCTTCCCCAGAAGACGATACTCAATCACCAGCAGGTTCGCCCCCCTCTAATATGGTTACCCCTGGTGAAAGAAAGGGACAACGTATATTTTCCCATTTTTCACGCGGCAGCTCCCACCTCGTTGTCCATTCTTCGCTTGCCTACACAAAAACTAACATAATTTCCAAAGGCTCCCTTCGAAATTCTACCCGCACCAACAAAAGCCACCACTACTCACAGAATGAGCAGTATGAGTACGATTCTGATAATAATCACGATCAAACACGTTCTGTCTCTCCTCAGAACTTGATGACACCTTCTGGCAATGGTAAAAACCTCAACAGCCGCCGTATTTCAACAGTTACAAAAATCGCCCACATTGTTAATGAGGGACCTGACACACCTACTTCAGAACCACCTCCGAAAAACAAAGGTGGTCGGCCAAAAGGATCTGGAAAACGGAACGCTGACGGCGAAATTAAAGGAACTCCCAGGATCATTCTACGGACCGGCGGTAAACAACTGTCCTCTTCGGATACCCCTGGTCACCTCATGGCCGCGAGATCGATTCAACCATCAATGTCAGGGGACAAAGGAAGCCCGATGATGGGCTCAGAGAGAGGGCCCAAGCAAAGGCCGCTGACAAGTCACCAAATCGCTGTCCAACAGAATAGAAAAGATAGGGCCGAATACATGATTAATCGCAAACTCAGAAGTCTCGATAGGAAGTCTATGAAGATAAGATTGAAGGAGGGCGCTATGGTTAGGTGCTGGAGGAGGATTAAGAATCTCGAGGACCCGTTTGACAAGAGTGACGATGAGAGGGATGTCCGGATTGTACGTATCCACGAGGCGCCGGCAGTTGTTTCGGGAAAGGAGTCGGATGCTATGGCTGAGGATGGTAATCCATTCGGAAACACAGCTAGTATCCCTGGAACGCTTGGGGAAGATGGTGTCTTAATTGAACCAACCCCAAAGAAGATTAAGCTTGAGCACAACACCCCTCATGATTCTCACCATAGACGTTCTACCAATGGAACCGTTCTTCCTTCTGCAGCTGGATTGATCCCTGTCGAAGAAGAGGAAGATGATTATGGGGAAGAAGCTAGTTCTCTTGCTGCTGCTGTACGTAGGACGACTAGACGATTGGATAGATGGGAACAGTCGGATAGGCAGCGCGCTGCGCAAGGATTGGCGCCAGCTACTTTCTCCCATCCTACTGGAAGCGATGGGCGTCATTCACAGATCACTTCGAAGTTACTAGCAGCCGTCAATCAAGGAGGGAGTGGTGATGAAAGCGCTCCTGGAGGAGGTCGAGGGAGCGCAATCTATGACGAGACACGAGAGCCTAGTTTCGCAGGGGACGAAGATGAGGAAATGATAGATGATGCGGATGCGGACGAAGATGAGGACATGGATGTCGAATGAACAGTGGGAGCCTATGGTATTTAATCTGAGAGGTTTACTCTTTTGGTTTGTTAACTTTCTTTTGGGTTACGCAAGTTCGCTTTTAGACTTGGTTTGATCTCAGTATCACTGTTTTTTTCTTACCTATTTCTCCTCTCCTGTGTATTTACTCACCTTCAATTCCCAGTTTTCTTTAGTCATACTATCATCTTGTTTTTCTGTTTGGCCAAGTAGGAGCGTCGTTTCCCTCCCCTTCTCCCCCCTTACATACAAAAAGCAAATACCCTTTGCCAGTAATTAATTCTCTTTTTTTTTTATTGGGGAAAGGGCCTCATTATCAGATTATGCGGCGGCACATCCTTTTCGTTTCTTCATTTTGTTTCAATAGGGGGATATTAAATCTAGTGAGTTGGGCGGGGAAGATGTTTTTTTTTTTTAGGGATTTTGGTGGGATATGCGAGCTGCGCTTGCTTTTAAGGGATGGATACTTACTAGTAGTTTGCTACTTACCGTAAAAGGTTCTGCTCCAGCTGTTTGGTTTAGATTGGCAGGGACATCTGTGCAATTGTCAAAACACATGAGCTCAGGTAAACGTTGGTGTGGTATGTATGTACAGTATAGATAATTTTGTTATACCTATTTTTGACAGACTTACAGCTTGGTTTGGTACTCGCGCAGCTATGCCTGCCTTTGTTCTTCCTTTTGTTGATAGGCCATGGAATTAAGTTGTTAGTGAAAGAACGAAACATAACCCTACACCTCCGGTCTTTTAAGCCCCGACAGCGGGTAATTAGATCTTAGCTCCCCGCCCCACCCATTTATTTAGGGGGTTAGGGTTGTACGCTAAGATCGATAAATAATATATTTTCAATATCTTTGGAGATATAAATCGTTCGATCTCTGTGATTATAGGTTATGCGATGCCACAATGAATCCTAAAAAGCTATTTTCTTTCCCCTTCTATTATTTTGCGACTACCTACTCGACATGGTAGTGATAATTCCGATTACTGCACAAGCACGCTCTATCAAACAATGAGGGGTTTAAACAGCGCGTACGGGAATCCAAGTAGGTGCGGGTGGTTAATTAGTTTCGTCTGTATCCCTTGGACGCGTGAGACATTTGGAGAATCTCTCTCATGCATTAGCGTGCCCTACCTAGGAAACGATTTACTATAATAAAGCATCTCTGAGTATTCCGAAGACCGATAAATGCAGCAAACTGCTTACCCGGACGTTTTCTCAGCCAAATTCTAGATCACATGACTGCCAATTCCCGCTAATGCATGAGAGAGATTCTCCAAATGTCACAGGGAATCCTGATTAATATTTTGGTCACGGAAATGATTGGCAACGAGTGATACCTTATGAACCATCTCGATAGAATTTATATAACAGTAGCAACTAATGTCCGAATTCATCTATGATTTGTTGGTTTAGAAAGATATAGGGTATCGAATAAGTCTTTCCAGCAGAATGCGTATGCATATTATAACATGTACAGAGCATTAGACTTGAAGCACGCGCCTTGTGTTGATGAGTGTATGTACAACGTGATTTATAGGCCACCCCAGAGACAGGTTCGTATAACCAGCACTGAAGAAATAAGGTGGTGTTACGGTTGGAATTTCCATTCAGACAGGCACTTATCAATCTAGAAAACGGGGCACTTGAGAAGCTCTTTGAATAAGCATGTACACAGCAGATACACGCACTTGAGCATGATAGGTTATATCTGGCACCTTCGGTAAGTCAGGGGTTAACATAAGTCACCTACTCTCTTCGTGCACATATCACCTATATACGACGTACCTAGCTAGTTTCAAACTCATCCCAGGGCGCGGGAGAGTGGTATAGGACACCCTCAATTGATCAAGTGATATATATGGCATGGCAGAACCGTCTCAGTTTAGGAAGAGATTATCCTGATTATATAACTCACTGTATGCATTATATTCTTGCACAGTATGGAAAAATCCTCATAACGCATGGATCAGGCCTGTTCTAAGGATTGTGTCTCATGCAGCTCCCGGGATGTTGGAAAGTAGCCCGGATCATTGTAAAAAGAGAAAATCACAGTCTTAACTGGACTCACTGGCTCAAAGTTTCAGATAGTTTGGTTTCTGCTATCCTATGTTATAACTTGCCCGTGTTATAACTTCCCCTTGTACGCCGTTTGAATAAGAAAGCATAGGCTTCTATTACGTACAAACGTCAAGTTGTTTTCTCAGTGTTCAACTTTGATATCACCTTGGGTTGCACTGCACATGCGAGAAGGAGTCGTAGCTCACTCATGTTATTCATTTGGGGAGCTACTACGCCCATAACGCTCGCTCATGGTACGGCGCGGAATTTCCCAAAATTCCTATCGATTCATGAGGAGACATAGCTCCCGGGCCTCGCAATTAGTCCAGTGTCATGTTGAATCCATTAGTTCCGTTATTTCGCCCTCATCGACAACAATATCGCCATTTCTTTGCGAAACCAATTGAGTCACCTTCATCTGGTCTCCAGGATAGGGTGTGGCGTTTGTTTTTTCGAGCTGAAAAACATTAACAAGTCCATCTGCTGAGAAGGTATAGACCGCCATGTTAGGACCACTATCAACTGCTAGATCTATGATCCTTCGAACTGTTCCAATGTAGCAGCCATTAACCGTAACAGGTTTCCAGGGTTCCTCCGAACTTTCGGAGAAAGTTCTTGAATCCTCACTTTCATGATACGGAGTCGTATCTGCGTTTATACCTTGGTATCGCTGACCATTGTCTCTCATATAGCCAGCAAAGATATCTGACGGAATGGAGAATAGTACGATGTGATCGCCATATGCAGCAACAACCCTTACCCCGAATCTCATGTCTGCTCCAGAAGCATAGACGCTTGGCCTGAAAAATCTACCTATACCTTGATTCTCAGCTTGCCATGCGTTTGCGAAATCCCCGTGTCTTTTACACCGCATTTCATCGCTCTTACTCGGGTCTGGTGGAGGGATAAACCATATCTTCCTCAATAACTTCGTCGGCACTCTAAGACCCATTCAGAACATAATCAGTATAGAATTCTATCATGCACTTAGGAGTGGTAATGTAGGGTTATAATATAAGAGCTAATGGACAGACCCTAACGGTGCATCACTTCCGAGACAAAGCCTACCAGTCTCTGGATCCATGAAAAGTATATGATACCCATCGCTCAATGGCACTGCCTGAAAATGGTCACTCTGACCTGCTTTTGGCTCCCAAGTTCCCCATGATGCAAGCGATCCTCGAGTTACCCCAAATCGCTTAGTGAGAGGACTTGCCTCTCTGGGATGAACAGCACTAGAGATGAGTCGTAGCTTTTTTGCTGAATCAATCCCTCTACGCGGAGGAAGGAAATAAAGGAAGTCTGACGGTGCAGTGAGTGGAAACCAACGGTTCAAATCCTGTCCAGTCAAGGCGTCCACCCCTACAATCAACAGACTTTTAGCACGGTTACTAAAAGCTATTTCCTAATAAATCGAAACATACAGTGCAGTTCAATTCCACCATGGCAGCCAAAGGCTACACATCGCCTCTGAGGGCATATGGCGACACTTCTGGGGACGTCTTCGTCACTGCATAGGTTTCTGTAAGTACTCTTGGCTTCTTGTTCAATAACATCGTGAACAAGTCCCATGCGGCCATCCTAAAGAAAGCATCGTCAGGCGCAAGGATTTACAGAGGATTGTGACATGGATCTTTCACGTACCAATAGAATTGCAATGGCAAATCTTCTACTGCTGGTATCCATACTTACAGCCAAAACCCTCCTTGGGCATATTATCGACACCACAAACTCGATCTGAGTCCCACTCGTCGCCCGAAGTCTATAAACATATACAACACACCCTTCACTTAAAAGTGCGTAGGTTCCACATATTGAGACTGTGAAATTGACAGTAGTGGTGGCTCCGAGCTCAGACATGTCTATAATAGTAGTGTTAACCAAACCTGATAAGTTCGATCCCCCAGCACCCAGCGAAAACTCCCTTGAGAGCCTTGTTGATAGGTAGTAAGGGTTGTCAGAATTTTGGATAGTGGGGTCAGTAATGTAGAATCCTAGCGCTTTGAGTTGAGTTTTTAATAGTGACTTTTCAAGAGAAGACAGGTACCAGGCCCGACAGGTATATCTGGCAGCGTTGAATGCCGAGGGGGAACTGAATCCAAGAATAAGTTGAATGAGTTCAATAGGAATTCTATAAAATGGAGGAAATCGGAGTGGGCGACTCTGCACGCATGCCTCGAACCATGATCTAGCAACAAGTCGGGCACAAAGTAAGGATCCATGGTCCAAGTATGATATTATCTTGGCAAGAATAGGCCGAAGGATCTCTGGTGCGACTGAATTTTCAATATTAGAAGTGGTGTGGGTAGATCTTATATTATGGGATGAATTAAACAAAAAAAAAAAAAGCTTATATTATGGGTATAGGTACCACGTTCGAGATTGGATAGAGATCCATATCCACGAGAAACACCAGTATCCTTTCTATCCCCTGGATTACTTCTCTTAAAACCCTTGACACCCGAATAAGAAACCGGACCTTTATTTCCAGAATTATTATCCAAACATTTGAGAAAAAATTCCGGAGAGCATTTACATCTTGTTGGGTGAGCTTGCGGTTGGGCGCCAGGACTGATCTCATTCTGGACCGTATTCGGGCGGAAGGAGGCCCGTCCCTTTGATTTGTCCAAACTGGGTAGTGCGAGAGACATTCTTCCTTCTTGGCTGGACGTTGTCAAATAGCGAGGACTGTTTTCTTCCTGATACGTTGATAGGTGTGTATTTGATGAAGGAACAGCAGGGGAACTCTCAATTGAAGAGTGTAATCGAATATGTGCAGAGACGAGGATCTCTATTGAAGCCACGATTCTCAAACTAAAGCGTAGGTTCGATCTAATCAGGGCTTATGCGCATGCAAAAAAAAAAAAAAAAAAAACAATTAAAAGAAAAAAAGAATCAAAAGGAAAAGAAAAGACGCAAGATGGATGAAGCAAGCAAAACAGAGTTATCAGGGACTGGATAAGAAAACGTAAAGGGTAGGAAAGGGAGGAGCCTCATAAATATTAGCTCCAAGAATGATTGGAAGAACAGATATTTGTACCTACATGTATTCACAAGCTCAAGTATCTTTTTTATACTCCCCTTTCATGTGCATACCCATATCTATGTAGTCAATGCATGTGGTCATATCAATCTAAACAAGAGCTCTACGCCTAAAGTGTAAGCTACACGCAGGCATAAATTTGCCCCACATGCTTACTAGAGTACATAGTTGTGAGACTTATCATTTTGCGACTTGGCCCGTGCTGTTGCGAATGATCAACTTTACAACCTCCAGCCCTGATCACCATACCTGCCCTAAATACTCTTACCATACCTATGGCCTTTAGTTCAATCCCAACGGGACCGGTGGTATTACTACCAGGATGTCTCTACTCAGCGATAGGGCGGACAATAGGGCGATATGTATCTACATATGCATACAGTACCAGTATGTAACAACAGATGGGCATGGTAATGATTGGTGTTCCCAGGACCTCAATAGTTATAATCCTAGACGGTCAAGTCAAGATTCAAGACACCTGAAACGTTCCTATCAGGCCCAAATCATGTTTCGGAAGCCATGATCATCACCGGGGTTGTTTAAAAGAAAACCAAAGAGGCTACAGTTCTTTTCAGCTGCATGGTTTGCAGTAGAGTTTCCAAGTGCACGGCCCTGACCTCTTTCGCTTAGCCAGTTGCAATTCACCTCTCTGGGCGCACGTCACCCCAATCCTGCCCCACTATAGACTTCACACCCCCCAAAACACCAACGGCTAAACCTCCAGCAATGAAAACGTCGTGTTAATGACGATACGGATGAAGAAACTCGATCCTCGCCATCGATTTCTGCCCTGACCACCAACTGCTAAATGCCAAACACACCCGCGTTTCCCACATTTGTGTTGCCCTCATATGTGCTCTATGTACTTCGGTATCAGGGATAAGTAAGAAGACACCACGATGCCAAGATTGCGTGAAGGGTGTCTTCTCACTTACCCCTACCCCCGAAGTACATGTAGTTAACCCCTCATTCCCCTCATTCCTCTCTGGTCCCGATCAGCCTCCGATCCGGTTATTGTCGAAGTGGTCGTAGAGTTCTCTAGATGTAAAATAGTTGTGTATACGTACCTTGCCGCTCAGGACCTTCCGAGGCCTTCTGTGTTTTCTATCTCTCTATTTATCCCTCAGTGTCCCTCGGCTTTGTCGGTTTTCCTCTCCATCCATTATCTTCTGTCTGTCCATCCTTTTATTGTCATAATTCATTAGCTATGGCTCCTATGGCTCCTCCGTTGGTTTATCTCCTCCCGCTCAATGATGCTGGTGCTCCTGCTATTCCTGGAGATTATATCAATCTACCTCCTCCACGTACGCCATATGTTCTGCGGTTTTCAATCGAGGGTGCCAGTTCCATCTGTCATCAGGGCAGCCTTTGGATCAACGTTCCTGAAAAAGACAAACAATTTGAACGTGTAAATTTCAGAGAATACAAGTTTGTAGCCCACTGAGCTCCATTACCAGTTGATTTATTTCTGTTTCCCTAGTAAAAGAAGACTTTTTCGTCAGTGTTATAAAAGGATTACTTCTATATGCTAGCATATTTCCATATACCCAATGGATATATCGTTAATGAAAATTACATGCTATAAGTACTAATTTGAATCTGTTTGTACCTAGGCTATCCCCATCGTTCTCTCGCACTCTACACATCGATGTCCCTATAACACGAGCGGGTACCTTTGGTTACTACTTGACCTACACCCCACTTCCTCCATTCAGTGCAGCTTCTTCGCCTGATAGCTCGACGAAACAGATCAAGACTGATAGCCGGTACTTCACCGTTTCACCGTGCCTCGCAATCAACAACAAGCCCCTTACTCTCGATGCCCTCTCGATATTCTCTGTTATATCAAAATGGCTCGGGCCAGTTGAAAAATGGGATGATCACATGAAGTATATCGCCGACAAGGGATACAACATGGTTCATTTTACCCCAATGATGCATCGCGGTGCTTCGAACTCGCCTTACAGCATTTTTAATCAATTAGCTTACGATCCAGAGGCATTTCCCAACGGAACTGATGATATCCTTGCTATCGTAAAAACGATGGAAAAACAACATGGCCTTCTTAGCCTTACTGACGTTGTTTGGAACCACACAGCACACAACTCTGAATGGCTACAAACCAACCCAGAAGCCGGCTATAATCTTGTTACAGCCCCTTGGCTAGAGGCGGCCTATGAACTCGACACAGCACTATTAGATTTTGGCAGTAAACTCGAGCTTTTAGGATACCCGGCCGAGCTTGAGACCAAAGACGATCTGCTCAAGGTCATGGAGGGTGTAAAGACCCACGTGATCGGGGCGCTGAGGTTATGGGAGTTCTACGCCCTAGATGTGAAAGCAAACGCAGAAGCAGCTTTAGAAATCTGGACGTCTGGGAAGTCAACCCCCTCAAAGTTTGCAGGACAATCGGACCACTCGAAGGATCTTTCGCTATACGATAAAGCCCAACTTCTTTCAAAGCATGGACTTATCGGTGGAGATAGACTTGGTGAAAGATACCGCCGCAAAATCGACCCCGAAATCGGAGCGGCATTCCTCGAGCTAGAATTTGGGAAATCTTCAGGTAAACCCGATGCCGAAGTGGTTGGGGAGGTAAAGAGCGAGTATACGAAGGTCCTAGATGAGCTCAACCTTCCTTACTACAAGGAATACGATGAAGATAGCTCCGAAATCCTTGAGCAATTATATAATCGTATTACATACCTCCGCGTCGATGCCCACGGACCCAAGATGGGGAAAATTACCAAAGAGAACCCATTGATAGAGACCTACTTCACCCGGCTCCCTCAGAACGAAAAAACGGCAAAACACGATCCAAAGAGCCTGGCATTGGCTAATAATGGCTGGATTTGGAACAATGTCGCAGACTTTGCCGGTCCTAATTCTAGATCTTATCTACGTCGTGAGGTCATTGTTTGGGGAGACTGCGTGAAACTCAGATTTGGAGAGAAACCTGAGGACAGCCCATTTCTTTGGGATTTTATGGTCAGATATACCAAACTCATGGCTCAGTGCTTCCATGGGTTCCGTATCGATAATTGTCACTCAACTCCTCTTCATGTTGGGCAGTATCTACTCGATATTGCGAGGCTAGAGAGAAACGACTTATATGTTGTTGCAGAACTTTTCACCGGAAGCGAACATGAAGATAGAAACTTCGTCGAAAGACTTGGCCTTGGAAGTCTTGTCCGTGAAGCTATGGTTGCATGGGGCCCCGGAGAGTTGTCAAGACTTGTTCATCGCCATGGTGGGAAGCCGATTGGGAGCTTTGAGCAAGAATTCATTATGAGAGGCAGCGAAAAGGCGGGTGGGGAGACAAATGGGAGTGCCAACGGTGATCGTGATGGAAGAGAGGTGATCAAGGCAGTTACGGCAAGTCCGATACATGCCCTTTTCATGGACTGTACCCATGACAATGAAACTCCAACCCAGAAGAGAACACCGCAAGATACTCTTCCCAACGGAGCCTTAGTAGGGATGTGTGATTGTGGTATTGGCTCGGTCATGGGTTACGACGAAGTCTATCCGAAGTTGTTGAATTTAGTGACCGAACCAAGGGTTTACTACCCACCACCAGCCCAGCTAGACGAAAATACTCCAGGTATCGGAAAGGTCAAGGCCCTCATTAACCGTATCCACGAGGAGATGGGCCGAGATGGTTTCACTGAAATGCATGTACACCATGAGGGGGAGTACGTCACTGTCCATCGAGTACACCCTAAAAGCCATAAGGGTTATTTCCTTGTAGCGCATACAGCGTATAACTCAGGAGATACCCGAGGGGACTTCAACCCGATCGTTCTTAATGGACCGAAAGTTAAAGTTCTCGGTAGCTGGAAGTTAAAGGTCAACGACGCTGAAGAGGCAAAGGCGACAGTCTTCGAAGATCCAAAGTACCTTACCGGGCTTCCTGCGGAGGTAGTGGACTTAGAAAATCCGGCTATCGAAGAGAAGGGGACTACCACAACAATCACCATCCCGGAAAAATTTCCCCCAGGGAGTATCACTCTGCTGGAGACATGGATTCCGGGAATGGAGGGTGAAGCCCTGGATAAGTTTGTAATCAGCGGGGCAGAGGAGGCATTTGCTAATACAAGCTTGGCTGAACTCAACTTTATTTTGTACCGCGCAGAATCCGAGGAGAGGGACTCGAGTGGGAATCAAGACGGTTGCTATAATATCCCTAACTTTGGATCCCTGGTTTATGCTGGGCTTCAAGGTTGGTGGTCCGTGTTGAAAGATATAATCAGAAATAACGATCTTGCACATCCCCTTTGCCAGCACCTTAGGGAGGGGCAGTGGCCGCTTGACTACATAGTTGGCAGAATGGAAAGGCTAGAGAACCAGGGTCATAAAGGACTATCTGGGCCGACAAAATGGCTGAAAGAGAGATTCGATAGAATCAGACAGGTCCCCGGATTTCTACTTCCTCGATATTTCGGATTGGCCATCCAAACGGCATATACCACAGCTGTGGAGAGAGCCACCACTCAATTCACAAGTGAGATCAACCAAGGCACCGAATTTCTCAAGGGACTGTCATTGGTCTCTTTGCAAATGACTGGGTAGGTGCCCATATTCGAGACTTTTATCTTTCTGAATATTTAACTGATTTGCTCGTTTAGATTCATGAAATCTACTTCGTTGTGGCCAAATAAAGAGGTCGCTTGCATGGCTGCTGGTTTACCCCATTTTTCATACGATTACATGCGTTGTTGGGGTAGAGATATCTTCATCTCAATACGCGGTCTCTATCTCGCAACTGGCCGCTATGAGGATGCAAAAGAACATATCCTGGCCTTTGGCTCCGTACTTAAGCACGGGATGATCCCCAATCTCCTTGATAGCGGACGCAAACCGCGATACAATGCTCGTGATAGCATTTGGTTTTACCTCCAAAGTATACAGGATTACATCGAAATGGTTCCGAACGGAGTTGATATTTTGAAGGAATCAGTTAAACGGCGTTTTTTGCCCTATGACGATACTTGGTTCGACTACGATGATGAGCGGGCGTACAGTAGGGAAAGCACAATCGGGGAGATCGTCCAGGAGGCACTTGAGAGGCATGCACTAGGCTTTGGCTTCCGTGAAGCAAATGCCGGACCAGGCTTGGACACACAAATGAAATATGAAGGGTTCTGGGTTGAGGTTAAGACAGACTGGGAAACCGGTTTTGTGAAAGGCGGCAGCCAATGGAACTGCGGAACTTGGATGGACAAGATGGGAGAGAGTGAAAAGGCGGGGAACAAAGGATATCCTGGTGCGCTCTCTTTTACCCTCACATATAAATTCCTGGGTTTTCCTAGTCAGTCAATACTAACAGGGTAATCCAAACTTTAGGTACCCCAAGAGATGGATCAGCAGTTGAAATCATTGGCCTTTTGTATAGCACACTCAAATGGGTCTCACAGCTCAAAGCCCAGGGAATATACAAGTGGGACAGCGTTAAAACCAGCGACGGGCAAGTGATCACATTCAACGAATGGGCGGATACAATCAAGAAAAATTTCGAGAGATGCTACTACATTCCAAAAAACCCGGATGATGACAAAAACCATGTTGTCAACCTAGCGTGTGTTAATAGAAGAGGTATCTATAAAGATTTGTTCGGTGGAGGGAAAGAATATGAAGATTACCAACTCAGGTATGTTTCCGCTGTCCTCACCGAGGCAGGCAGCATACTACTTAATATTATGTGAAGCTTACTGATAAAATTTCTATAGGCCAAACTTTGCGATCGCTATGGTTGTTGCTCCCGATCTTTTTGATCCCGATCATGCGCTAGGGGCAATCGAGATTGCAGATGAAGCACTGAGGGGGCCTACTGGTATGGCCACGCTTGAGTGAGTAATAATTCTTCTATTGCTATGCAACATAGAAATTACCAGCTTAACTAACTCTACTGCTAGTCCTATTGATCGCAACTACCGGCCATACTACCATAATTCGGAAGACTCAGGTTTGAATTCACTATCCAATGACTCATTTTCCTTTAATGGTGGTGATGCAGATGAACTTGAGGCGTAAATGCTGGATAATAGCTAATTTCCTTTGGCCAGATGACTTCGCTACCTCAAAGGGACGAAACTATCATCAAGGGCCAGAGTGGGTTTGGCCTACTGGCTACTTTCTGAGGGCGATGCTGAAATTTGATCTGCAACGAAAGAAGACAAAGGAAGAAAAGCTTGAGACACTTCTACAGATCAATTTAAGGATGGACGGCTGCCGCAAGGCTCTCTATGAAAATCCTTGGGCTGGTTTGGCTGAGTTAACAAATAAGCACGGAGAGTTCTGTTATGATTCGGTAAGCCTTCCCGCTGTTCATCTCATAATTATTTGCAAAGATTACTGATTGCATTTCTCCTATAACAGAGCCCTACACAGGCGTGGTCAGCTTCATGCTTAATCGATCTGTATCACGATGCTGCAAGTATCGACTTATCAAAGTAATCATCTTTTCTCAAAATTATTTCTCTGTGTAGAATAGGAAGGGACAGATACTGTACGTATATTTTGGGGCGCTGGCGTGGATGTGGGGGATTTCTTTTTCTGGATTTATTCTTTTCATGTGCGTCTCACTACCTTCTCCGGAAGCTCGTGAAGGGATATTGTAAGTCGGTTCTTACGGTGATGGTAATAAGATAGTCATAAACATTGATATTAGAAAGCGTCTGGTGGTAAGGAGTGACCTGAAACCAAAGCCGCCAAACCAACCAAGGGATCGTCCGAGTTAGGGCATGAGCAGATCCACTACCTTCTCTTGGCAAGGTATTTAGTATAATTTTCACTTCGCCTAGGAGGGTTCCCTTATTAAAACCCTATCGAGCTCTACGGAACGTAGGTACCGTAAAAACTCGATAGGTGATCAAGCCCGGGCCTAGACTGGAAGTACAAGGTGAATAACAGGTACATATGCTAACTCGTAGTTCTCTGGCCGTTTATTAACTCTTATCTCCTCAATTGATCCTTGGTATGATATGGTGATTTGACAACTACGTTTATACCTACCTGTATCTAAGAGCCAGTTCAGCTACAACAACCGTGGTCTCCCGGGTTGTCAATTGCACAGTCTGACACGGTACCAGGTCAAAAAAACTTTAGTTGTGAGGGCTGCCAGTTTAAATGTGTTTTAGTCCTAATTTCGTAATTTCAAAAAGGATCGTGTCCTGTCTCTGCTTGATCTGGTTTTGGTTGGCCAAGTCGTTGAACAGGTTCGCCACTGACTAGAGAATTGGAGGTCCTAATGGCACCAGCCACACCTTTGCCACAAACATTAGGAGGGGCTCTTTGTGTAACGATTCTGTTGTAGTGGGGCAATCAGAAAGTTTTACTTATAGTTGAACCACTCCCACTACAGCGAAGCGCCACCTCCTAAAGTTCGGTGCTTTCATACGAACTTTATTATTACATTCCCCTTTCTAGCCCGGTTCTTTAGATAATCTATTTTCCCACTTGAGTAATGGCAGTAAGTCCTATCCATTCTACATCTGCAGTTGTGAAGAGGTAGAGAACCATCTCACAAAGGATTTTAGAAGTCCTGAGATAGGATTTTGTAGAACATAATTGATTCTGGGCTAACACATTTCTGCGGGAATTTATAGACCTACTATATTGAGAATAAGGCCGTCGGTGACAGGACAAGTTCTGAAGATTGGAGAGGTACTGGCTCCTACCTATTCCTTTTAGCTGGTTTTTGTGTCAAAGCCATTGCTCACAATCTTTTTAGTTCGCGGCTGTGAGTAGCTATTATTATACGACATTCCTCCTGAGTATTTAACTTAGAAATGTAATGTAGCTTACTTTGCTCGTCCCGATTAGACAACCCATTGACTCCTCCTGATCTACTTCAGCATGAGGTCAAGCAGGTATGACAATTAGTTTCCATAAATCTTCATACTCCGGAGCAAGAAAGCTAATAAAAACTGTTCTGTAGACGCTGAAATCGAAAGAGACAGTCGTCAAGACCCGAGAGGAGGCTGCCGCAATCCTCCAATCCCGCGACCCTCTCAACCGCCTCCTTGTCGTGGTTGGTCCTTGCTCGATTCATGACCCAGCTGCCGCCATTGAATACTGCAAGCGCCTCCTTGTCCTTAAAGAGAAGCACTCTTCAGAACTTTTGATTGTCATGCGTGCGTATCTTGAGAAGCCGCGTACCACTGTCGGCTGGAAAGGCCTTATCAACGACCCTGACATTGATGGTTCCTTCAATATCAACAAGGGACTGAAGATTTCAAGGCAGCTATTCGTGGATCTTACCACCATGGGTATGCCATTGGCGAGCGAGATGTTGGATACCATTTCGCCCCAGTTCTTGGCCGATTTGTTGAGCGTTGGCGCAATTGGTGCTAGAACAACAGAAAGCCAGCTCCATCGAGAATTGGCATCTGGGTTGTCGTTCCCAGTTGGTTTCAAGAATGGAACTGATGGAAGTTTGGATGTCGCAATTGATGCAATTGGGGCGTAAGTCTCCTAGCTTTTGTAACTGCGAAGTAGATATAACATGACCTTGTGTACTGATACGATCTATCTACAAATACAGTGCTAAAGGCGCTCACCACTTCTTGTCAGTAACGAAGCCTGGCGTTGTAGCAATTGTCGGTACCACAGGGAACGATGATTGCTTTATCATTCTTCGTGGTGGCAAAAAGGGCACGAACTATGATGCCGAGAGTATCAAAGAGGCAAAGGAAAAGCTCCGCAAGGCAAATACCCAAGACAAGATGATGGTGGATTGTTCACACGGTAGATAAAATATTCCCCGTTGTGATTTTTTTTTTTTTTACCATAGATGTTGATATTTACCAGGAAACTCATCTAAGAATCACAATAACCAGCCAAAGGTCGCAGCCTCAATCGCTGAGCAGCTCCGCAACGGCGAAGACTGTATCATTGGTGTTATGATTGAATCTCATATCAACGAGGGCAACCAGAAAGTTCCTGCCGAGGGTAAATCTGGTTTGAAATATGGTGTCTCCATCACTGATGCTTGCATCAATTTTGAGGTTACAGAAAAGGTGCTCGAGGAGCTCGCTGAGGCAGTAAAGGCTCGAAGAGAGCTTGCTACTGGTGCTGCGTCTTCTTGATTGAGATTCGCAGGTCAATTCACAAAAGTCGTATCGTTTTCAAACTTGTTTTGAAATAATTTCCCTAAATGTTCAAATCAGAATTACTAGTAGTAAATATTAGTCAACAAAGTTCCGGACGAGGTCCAAGAACTAAGTATGGTTAACTATGCAATTAATGAATTAAACAAAAAAAAAAAAAAAAAAGTAAGGTTGACTATCAGTTATGTGACGGGTTGCCACGAGTGACAGGCTGTGAACGTCTAGAGACGCTTTTTGCCGAGAATATGCCGGGTGTGAGGACGAACGGGAGCTTACGTATAATTAGCGACAACGCCTGGGCGAATTCAATCATACTCGAGAATACTGTAATAAACTCGCCGCAATTGAGGGGGAATATTCTCAATATATCGAGAAAAAGTCCCTAACTAAAAAGATAGATTAACATACATGTGCCTGGATGCTTGACCTAAGTTCCACCCGAGTTGCGCCGCGACCCCCGCTGGATGAAAAGAAAAAAGCCCCTCCCAAATACTAAACAATCCCTTTGTCAAAAGGATCCTCCGCCAATCAAATCCTTCCCATATCCTGATTAAGCAAGAGCTAGAAGAAACATCTGTTCATCAATTGCTCTTTGCCCTGATTCTCATCCTCCCTTCCATCTTTCGTCCCTTCCGCTCTCACGAGGCCTCTCCCCTCCCTCCAGTCTACTCACCCGTCACTTTGCCCACCGGAATAATCAACCACCCGGGCACCCACCATGCTTGCGCGATCTATTCTTCGTCCCACCACCGGCGCTGCTCTGCTCAAGACGGCTGTCCGTAACTCGACAAGGGTGAGTGGAAACCAGCGCTTCATTCTAATTCATATCTACACATCAAAAACCCGGTCAATTGGCGATTGGGAATAGGGTTAGCTAGCTGATGAAATTTTTTGGAATAACTTAGCGAACCGCCACATCCTCCGCCACATCGTCAAATGCCGAATCGCCGAGAAACCTGAACATTGCAGGAACAGTTTCGACTTTGACGGCTATCGGATCTATTGCCTGGTATTATCAGCAATATGGATGCGGGTTTGGTGAAGTACATGCTGCGACTCCAGCGGAGGAGGGGTGCGTTTGTCCAAGACTTGGCGGGGTTACTTTTTTCATGACTGGAGTTCTCTTTATTAACGTTAAGGTATTACGGTTTAAAGATTGCATGCTCCGAAGTACCCATGGGACCACCAGGGATGGTTGAGCACCTTTGACCACCAAAGGTGAGTTATCGGTTCCTCCCAACAACTCCCTCCCGGAGGCACGTTTTTCGATTCTTTATAGATGATCCCCTAACAATTCAACCCCCACCAGTCTCCGTCGTGGCTTCCAGGTCTACCGCGAAGTCTGCGCCTCATGCCACTCTCTTTCACGTGTTCCATGGCGTGCACTTGTCGGCGTGTCTCACACTGTCGACGAGGCCAAAGCTATGGCTGAAGAGAATGAGTATGACGATGAGCCCAATGACCAGGGCGAGATCCAGAAGCGAACTGGAAAGCTTTCCGATTACATCCCATCGCCTTACCCTAACGATGAAGCTGCCCGTGCTGCCAACCAGGGAGCCCTTCCACCAGACCTTTCTCTCATCACCAAGGCAAGGCACGGAGGCTGCGACTATGTCTATGCTTTGCTGACAGGATACCCCGATGAACCCCCAGCGGGTGCTAATGTTGCTGAGGGCTTGAACTTCAACCCGTACTTCCCTGGGACTGGTGAGTTAATCTTTAGGGATTCTGGAGCGAGATGATCGTGGTTTACTTACTGGGTCCCGGATAAATAGGAATCGCTATGGCCCGTGTATTGTATGATGGCCTCGTAGAATACGAAGATGGAACCCCCGCGACCACATCCCAGATGGCCAAGGATGTTGTGCAGTTCCTTAACTGGGCCGCGGAGCCAGAGATGGACCAGAGGAAAAAGATGGGAATGAAAGTTATCATCATTTCCTCTGTCTTGGTTGGTCTCTCAATCTGGGTTAAGAGATACAAGTGGGCTCCTATCAAGGCTAGAAAGATTGTGAGTTCTCGTGGTTTTCTTTCACTCGTCAAGCATGGCTTGGTTTGCTGACTTGCGTCCTATTAGGTCTACAACCCCCCCAAATAAAAATAACACGAATTTCAACTGTGCGGTAGCGGCATAGACAGGAAATATTGAGGTCGTCAGAGGTGGCAAAGGAAGCTTGAGCTTGAGCTCTGGAGAAATGGTGGGGATTTCATGTTGATTTTTAGGTGTGGTTGGTTCCTAGCGCTGTGTTGTACCTTGGTCTATATAGAACAAAAGCGGAACACTGGGGTAATACATTTTGATGCTTCATGAGGTGAATGGCAAAAACAACTATTGTATCACCCGGATTCTTTTTTCTTTCTGTATTTGAACCCTCATTAAATGCGGATGTTATTTTTCTATACTTACTGGCAATTGTAAATTTTTTTGTATATTTTGTTTTAGGTGATATACCGCGGCGACACCTCCTAAATCCCTGGTTATATCACTTTCAGATTGTTCAAAATAGGAATTCTGAGGTCTGTACCTATCTACACATGCCAGGAATTTAGAAGAGGTTGCTTCTCTTCCATCTTGTGGCACATAATATCCTGATTAAAGGCAAGGTACATGTAGTTTAGGTAGGTAGTGTGCTGGGGTGGATCGAGTACCGCATTAATTCGTCTCGACGGCCAGTCACACAGGACGTTGAAATTCCCCTATATGGTTATTTGCCTTGAATACGCCCCAATCTCCCTCATGCTGGCTAGAAGAGGCAACTTAGACGTCTTGTGTGACCGGCCGCTGAGACGAATTAATGCGGTACTCTACTTAGAGTAAAGGTACCTGAAGCGATCCGATTAGTGCCAGGCTGACCAGAGACATCGAGTCGCCCTTGCACCTAAGGATCGCATGGAGCCTCCAACCCCAGCCTCCGCCGAATGGCGGACAGGTACTGGAGAACATAGGCAGACATGTGCAAAGGGTATCTCCCATGCGTACAGAGCACCTCACAGCTCTTGTCTCAAGCTTACCCACTTGCTATTGATGCCAGGAACCGCGGCTTCCTTTAAATTTTTGATACCTATAACTACGTGGCCGCGGAATCAAATGTGCATGTGCCGGGATTGGGAGATTAAAAAAAACCTGATGCAGCACTAAAATTTCCGACGATTCCTGAAATCCCATCAAAACCAAAACTAGTGAGTGCGGCAACTGCATAAGTAGAGGTAGCTCAATTACTTCCCAACATTTCAACCTTTATCTGGGTTTCACCCTCTACCCTTACATGAGATAGTCTCAACCTCAACTCTTATCAATCGACTTTGCACTTCTTTTAACGCCTCTTATCCTAAGTTTCCTCTATTTCTTATGCCACTTCCCCCATCAGCCTCTTCGTTGCTGTTCGGTTCATCTGCTGTCGTCACTACTACTGCTACAAGTACATCCACAGGCAGAGCCATTGCTTCAAGGAGACTCGCTCAGTTATCGCGAACGCTCGCAAGTTCGGCAAAAATGTTAACTACTCCTACTCAAAAACACAGGGTGACCGTCGTGGGGTCTGGGAATTGGTACGGGCTTTCTTGTATTTCTATCCTCATCCCAGAATAAGCACCTGGTCCAAAGCCACAAATACGATTAAAACAATGTCTCATTTGAATGAAAGCTGATTTCATCGAACATCGTGAAGGGGGAGTGCAATTGCTAAAATTGTAGCCGAAAATACTAAAGCTAACCCTGAGCTTTTCCATCCGGAGGTTAAGATGTTTGTGTTTCCTTGCTATTCTGAAGTTTCCTTGGACTTAGACCTGACCCGGACTTTCTCGGAGGACAGGTGGGTGTATGAAGAGAAATACCAACTGCCCTCAACTCATCCTGCCTATGATCCAGCCAAACATGCTGAGCCCGAAAAGCTCACAGCTTTAATTAATTCCCTTCACGAAAACGTCAAATATCTTCCTTCAATCCCGCTACCCGATAACATTATCGCAACACCAGATATTTGTGATGCAGCCTCCGACGCAACTCTGTTGGTCTTCAACGTCCCTCATCAATTCGTATCAAGCATCTGTAACCAGCTTAACGGGACCTGCCTTCAATATGCCCGTGCGATTTCATGCATTAAGGGGGTAGACGTGAGCCCCGAAGGTATCTCACTATTCTCAGATACCATTGGTAGGCGACTCGGTATTTACTGCGGTGCGCTTTCCGGCGCAAACATTGCGAACGAGGTTGCTGCTGAGAAGTTTTCTGAGACTACCATCGCCTATAACCCCCCGACAGGTCCAACTAAGGACTATCCTAATGGCCTTGAAGAGGTCCCGGGGGAACTACCAGCGGTCGACCATACACTCTTCAAGACCCTCTTCCATAGGCCCTACTTCCACGTGCGCGTTGTTTCCGATGTAGCTGGTGTCTCCCTCGGCGGCGCGTTGAAGAATATTGTCGCAATTGCTGCGGGCTTTGTTGACGGTCTCGGCTGGGGTGATAACGCTAAAGCTGCTGTAATGCGTGTTGGGCTTCTTGAAATGCGTAAATTTGGCAAGATGTTCTTTTCTGAAAGCTGCAAATCGGCCACCTTTACTGAGGAATCATGCGGTGTTGCGGATTTGATCACCTCGTGCAACGGTGGCCGAAACCACAAGTGTGCTAAACTCAGCATTCAAAAGAATAAACCCATCGAAGAAATCGAGGCCGAGGAACTGAACGGGCAAAAGTTGCAAGGGACTAGCACTGCAAGTGAGGTCAATGAGTATTTGAAACGTAGGGGACTTGAAGCTGAGTTCCCTCTATTCACTGCTGTTCACCGTAAGTCTCTTCTAACTCTTTCCTTGTGGTGAGTTCGGTTGTAAAGGTACGACCAAGCTGGGCTAACCGTTGTGATCACCCAATTTAATAGAAATTCTCAAAGGTGAAAAGAAGGTAAGTTCCCCATTTTAACCGCCTGTCGGCTCCCGGGTGATAACTGATATACGGTAACACAGGTCGAACACCTTCCTGAGTTGATTGAGAGAGTGTAAAGAAATTTTGGGAATGTAAATCCTGTAATTGCGTGTTTAGTTTTTGTATTCCCAAAGTGGGGATTGCGGGGTTTGAGCATAAAAATAAAATACGGTGATACTTATGATGCATGATAGAGTATTTAAGATGGAGTCTTGCTTGTACTCTAGTATCTCAGTCCACCACCCTGCAGCATACCGCCAAAACTCGAAAAATTGGCTATCTCCGTCCAGGGATTACCACTTGAGTGATTGGTTGAATGGCATCGATCTGCTTTAGAAATTTCCCATACAAGAAATTTTGATCTAGCCAATTTTTCGAGTTATGGCGGTACATGTACTCACGCGTTTATTAAATGGTCGGAATTCTTAGTAGGGATTTGGTTGCAACGATGGTTACAGGACTGTAGAGTACATGTATGTACCCAGGGGTCCCGATAAGTAATATAATTCCTATTTTTCAACAAAACTAACCAACAAAATACAAAAAAATTTATGATATTTTAGAGGGTGAGGATCATAGTTTTAGTAAGACTTATCATGAGTAGCTGCTACTTATTTTTTTTATCGCTGTTTGTCAGAAGTTGCCCTTTTTGGACTAAAATCCCAAATTAATGACTTGAAAAAACTCGGATTCTATCCTCAAGACTCATTTATCATGTATTATCAAAGTATCTATCAGAGGTTGTTTTGCACTGAAACATTGAAATCTTTGTGCCTTTCGGTGTTGCGAAGTCAAACGTTGCATCACTTATCGGGACCCCTGGGTACATGAATGTGGGAACTGAGCTCGACCCCAGCCCCAAACTTTTTGGCAGTCACGTGACTTTCTGCGAAAGTTTCTGTGGTAGGGCTTAGGGCGCGCGAAGTCATACTAAGGGTTCCTACTAGCGGGTGCGTCACAAACTGTCACCCGCACGCACGCACGCACGCACGCACCCATAAAGTCCTACCTTTGACCGCCCTTGGCTGCCCGCCTATTAGTATAAAAGGATCTATTTTTGTATGTAGTAATAAAGACAAGCAAGTTGTATGCGAATTCTACATCTATGGTAGCAACATTGAAGTTACTTGTCGTTTTTTTCTGACTCTGAAAATTTCTTTTTCTTTACACCTGAAAGATTACTTTTCTCTACAGAAATTCTCCGAGCTCAAACGCCTGACTCGCTTACGCAGACCCCATTTGACGATTGAAATGACCTCCAACTGGTTACTATGCACCGGTAACCAATCCCTGCATTGTTGTATTAGTGTTGAGGATTACATTGAAGTAAGACTCTGTAACGGTGACAGTCTTTCCACGTATTGCTAGAATCCGATAGAGAGATGTGGCTGTACAAGATAGAATCAGGTTTAGATTATTCCCAACGATTTATCGCTAATGTATCGGGGGTGCCATGATGGGGCACGACCATGACTTCGATCAGGTAGATATGGAAAAAAGGAATAGAACAAGTTATGATTGGGTTCGTTCGATGGAAAGATAGAGTTTATTTGTTTGATTGTTATTTGTAGTCTAGAAACTTAATAACTTTAAGGGGTCTCCTCACTGGTAAAGATTCGCTGATCCCCAGAGCCCAACCTGGGGCAACCGAGTTCTTTTATGGAAGTTTGGTGCCATCAGCAAGCTAGCATCCGCCTCCGGGGGATTGTCCCTTTCTCCAGAGGTTGATGCCAAGACAACTAGTCTCCCTACCCCTCCCATGTCTCCTCACCACCTCGCCTAATCCGTTGAGCCTCTGGAGTAACCTGGCACTCTCTGGAGAACTCTCCGCCTCAATTTCTTCTCTTGAGTCTCTCCCGCTTCCTCTTTAACCAGGCTTCTCGAGCCTTCTAAAAGGCTTCCTAGACATTTCAGCGGGCCTCTCGAGCTTCTCACAACCCTCCCCAGCCACTCGACACCCTTAGACCACTCCCCAACAGGCTCCGCGAGCCTCCCAAAAAGCCTCTTGAGCCCCCTCAACCTCTCTCAAGGCCCCGACTCGTCTTGTAAGTCTATAGGCTTCTCGAGCCCCCAAACGCTCTTCAAGCCCCACTTAGCCACTCTCTAGGCGCCTCACGCCCCCCTTAAACCACCCAAAATCTACCCCAACAGGCACCTCGAGCCTTCCAAAAGCCACTCGCGCCACTCCTGATCCTCTCAAGGGTCCCCGCCGACCTGGCTTTAGGTTAAGCGAAAAACCACACGCAACACCTAGAACTTTTGACTTGGCCTTTCCACCCTGGAAATATTCCAGAGGGTGTTATCATAGAATAATATGAATACATTAATATTGGACCACTGATTCATACATATCGTTTAAGAGGATCCAGTCTCTCAGAAGCATTGACCTGTTATAGTTCGAAGCTTATAGCTCCGCCGGGGTTAACTGTATATATGGTAATTCGTTGTCCAAGTTCTTGAGAATCTACTCTAGTGTTGTACCAGCCGATGGTCTCCCTGCCCCCAATTCGATAAACAAATGTGCTATTCCTAAGACGCTACGAGTTGATATTAATATTTTCCAAATACATTTGACCACAATGATGAGGCGCAAAGCGGCGCGCCCCTCCGCCCGGACCCTCCTCTAGATCGTCCCGTCCTCCTCTAGCGAGCCTTTTCGTAGTGTAAAGGCCCCGACTCATGATCCCCTTGCCATGGTGTTCCTCAGCAGCTCAACCCAAGCCCACAGAAGTACTCGAACTATGACTACTTTCCTAAGCTAACCAACTCCTATCACGTGAGCTCCCCTGGACGAAATCATTTAGCCCCTTTAGGTGCCACTTACTAACAACTAGACTCCCTGAGATGCTCCCCAGCGTTTGAACCGTAGATAGCATACCTTAAATCCACTAAGGCCACAATCACTCTTTCCTAACTGCCATCACTTTTCACTGAACAAAGCTACTACCCGCAGTGCATCGTGAACCCTCCATTTACTTCACTCTTCCTCCTGCTCTACTCTTTCCTTGGAACCTTCCGCTGAAGATACATGGCAACCTGCAGGCATTGTTTAACCGTCTAACCTCACTGGGTAGTCGGAATAGTAGGTGCTCAATAGTAAGCCCTCCTCCTCTTCCCGCGTGCTGTATGAAGCTGCCACGGCTCAGAGTGAAGGCAAGGCACGGACCAGTAGTATTGCCGATCGTACTAGCAATTTACTTAGCTTTGTGCAAGACTCGTATGGCTCAATCTTATCTGCAGTGTAGTCCTGTTTCATTCTTGATAATGTCTGCGAATCAGATAACCTGGTCGCCGAATTGTTCCTGGCGTCGGTTCATCTTAGGTGTGTTGTGCTGCTGCATGGAGGGTGCATCTCCGTATCCGCGAATCACTCACTGCCTCCTCTTTGTTGGTCTTCATTTTTGAAAAAATCTTCCCGAAGTAGTTCTCAAGCTTTCTCGATGTTGGGCTCCGGCAGTTCCTCATGATGTTCGGGCAAGGGAGGAAAGAGGAATATCTTTCAAATTTCAACACTTCTCATCTCTCGCGCTCATGCAGCCGGATTTACGCCTTGTGGAAATGTGTCTATTGCGTAATCTAAGAAGTCTTGTGGAAATACTCGTGGCGCGCCAATCTACCTTATACGTGACAAGCCAGCTGATTAGGTAAGCTGCCATCTTAGAATTATGACCGCCGATGAAGCCAACTCATATCGGATGCACATCCGTTGAAAAACTGCCATGGAGTATTTTCCGACCACCTACGTTTTCAACACGAATGCTCCGTTCACGCTTTAAGTCGCTTAGGATAGTTAGTACAAGCCATACTTAAAATTGACATTAAGCAATGGGACCCGTAGTCAGACACATGAGCCGCATCATCTTGAACCTCTGATCTAAGGCCCAGTTCCCCAAAGGGTGATCCGGAGCCGTGAGGGCTTCGTAGCAGATAGCTTTCTGGTCGAATCAGATCATGGAGTGACACAGGTTGACCACTGACATCCGTTACGTCGTTTAGATAGCCCGGTGAATCTCAGAGAGGAAAGTACTTCCGTATACTTGTGGAAGTTCGAGATAGCCTGTTGCAGGTAATACTTCGTAAGTGAGTCGTTTTCCCTTTGTATGTAGTATGGTATAACCTGAATGGTTCAGCGCATTTGAGCACCGAGGTGTGGATGAGTCACACATACCCTAACCCCTGACGCTCGTAGCAACGTACCGGAGCTCAGCACAGATGCACACCATAGACCATTGTGACTAACTCTACTTTCCATGCAGATCAGCTCCGACTCAATCTCGCGGACTCTCAGGCTTTTGCTACATACAGCACTAGTCAATAGGGCTCCTCTCGATTAAACTATCCGGCCAAGATGTCGCCATTTCCCTCTGTTATCCATCCTTGTCCTCCATACGCCTCGATGGAGCCAATAGCAAGCATGTGGTTGCACTCGCCGATAACGGGCCTCTTAAGCTTATGGGCAACGCCAAGAGCGAGCACCGGACGCATGAGATTAGAGGGCCAAGGCACAGGCAAGCACATAGCAGGGCATGAGCATATATTGGCAACTATGTAAACGTATTGCACACTCCTCTATCTTGCCACCGAACAACTTGTATTTCTTAGAACCCCCTTGCATAGTTCTGAACCCCCTTCTCTCGCTCTTTGCTGTTTCAATTTGCATTCTCCCCTAGCGTAGATATTGTCTAGTATGTCTGCCTTGGCTGGCTCCTCCTTTGCTGTCGCGTGCCTGTGAGGTCTCCTATTTACTTTGCTCGCACTTGGTGCCGACTCCTCCGGGGCGCAACGCCCAGAGAAGGAGCTATGTGACTCGTGATAAGAGTGGGTTTTACGAATAGACTTTTTTGAACTACCTACCGGTCGATACGATTCCCGATTCCCGGGCGCGTGCTCTTGAGCGCTTGCCGTAGTAGACCTATATAGTACGTTACAGATATTCCTTTAACCGTATATGCTCTGATACATGTGTATCATGTTCACTCAATACTGAATTCTCAGTCGTACATTACATTTCATTCTTCCTTTGGAAGCCAGCGCGGGCATTTCACGTTGCACGATAAGTTGTCCATCCGTCATCTATTGCTGTGATTGATCATCTAAAGCCTGACACAATCAGTGGGCCAAGGCCATGAAGTTGGACTTCTAGAGTTTATGGGTCTAGCCTGCTCCCGTCCCCGGTGTTTCTGGCCCGTGAAACGAACCCTTACCTCAAATCAAAAGAAAACCAAATAGACAAAAATACCGCAACCCAGGCACATAAGAACCTTCATAGGGAAAACCACAAGAAACCCAAAATCGACTGACGTTAGCCATCAGCGCAGGCACCAACAAATAGCAAGTTGCCTAAGGTCGTCACTCGTCCAGTACACTCGCGAGGAAATAGTATGTCTACAACCTCGGACACCGTCCACCCACCAGGGCCCCGATCCCGTCCCAAGCCCGCCCGCTTACCCCAAGCCCGAGAAGGTACCGTGGCGTGCGAAGCCTGCAGCCAGTTTGGCCCAAGGTGCGTGCTGGCGGGTCACAGGCAAGCGGGCGCCGGCTGGGCAGGCGAAGCTGTTGGACGGTATTTCTGGCGACGTGCGAAGGCTGCTGTACGTGGGGATAACAGAACGAGCTTATAGGCTCAGCCTGATTTTTGTGGTAGTAGAGGGAGCGGTGCGCTGAATAGTAGTAGATGCTTACTCGTCTCGGAACTGCTGGGGAGAAAATAACTAACTTGGACCTCTACCTAAAGTAATTATGTCTCCCCTACATACACTTTAGGTTGACTACTTTAGGGCCCAAGTTCTTAGGTTGACTTACCGTCTCTCGTCGACAGGTGATTCATTATTGCAACCTGATCTACACTCCACTTGCCAAAAGTTTGTACATAGGTACTATGGCATACCGCTCTCTCAGGGTGAGATTAAGATACTTGATAGCCGACCTGGCAAGATGAGCTTGCTACTGCCAAAGAATGCAATAAACTGTCAAGGAGGAGTGACTTGCACTGCTGCGTAGGTTCCTTGAGCGTTCCGATATTTCCTCCAACTATGCCTAGCTTAGAGTAAACAGGAGCCATGCTCCCTTCTGAATCAATACCCTCGCTCACTATAGCCAGGAAGGAAATAGCTAAGCCACTAGAGCGTCGCTCTCCTCGGTAGACGCCCAGTGTAAAATACTAAGATTATCCAACCTGCCTACTACTACACTACCACTGAATTGACCACCCTCTAGTCAGAGTCCTCATAACCTAATACCTCTCAACCCTACCATAGGCTAGGGAAGAAGAGAGAAAGCGATTACAAATAAAAAGACCCACTCTCACGATGGGGTTATAGAAATATCTGACATGCGTACTACAGCACCACCATGTCCTGACACTCGCGTATGCATTATCTCACGTATGGCTCCACTGCTCGCATCCGCACCCATTTACCTCTTACTCTAAGTACATCGCCTCCTGAGACAGAGCCCACATAACCAAAAGATTTACATAACCCCTAGCAACAGCCAGTATAGTGACTACCACCCACCCAGCACGCGAGCAACTCCGCGCCCCACCACCTCACGCTCGCCCCCGCCGCGCGTCTCCAAAACACGTTTTCCACCCGCTCACGAATTCACATCTCCCCGGCGCCCACAACCCCCGCCACATTCTCGACCAACGCCTTTGAAGCAACCTGCTCGCGCGCCACGCCCCGCATCGCGCGCCGTGTGCCAATCGCCAGCGTCCATCAAGCTCCACGTTCAAATTATGATTTCAATGGCCGTCTCCCGGTCACCCCGACGGTTTGCTCGGCGCTGAAGTTTGTCTAACTCGACCTCTTCCTTGGATAAGCTCTGCTCCAGGACCCTAGAGGATACGCCGCAATGTAAGGTCCAGAGAGGGGGAAGGATCTCGGCAAAGTGGTAGTATAGCCTGGTTTGCTCTGTTGTTGTGAGTGGTTAGCTGTTAACTTCCCTTTTCGCCTGGTGCTCGTGGAGCCTGGCCCCTACGGGGAAAAGAGAGAGAGAATTGTGTGCTAACCGGGTGCGGGGGGTCGGTGGTAGATTTGCGCGCTGGCGGAATACGGTTTTGCGAAGCGGTGCGCGAGGAGACAGCCAGGACCCAACATGTGAGCTGAATATATCAATGCGGTAGGGGGATTACGCCTGCTTGGGGCTCGAAGAGTGTGTGAGGAATGTGAGTTGGAGGTCGCTTTGCGGGGTGAAGAATGTATGTTTAGCGGAAGGGCGGAGGGGCTCTGGTGGGAGAGATTTGGAAGATAAGGAGGCGGAGGGTTCTGCTGAGAAGCCTTGATGGTGGAGTTTGTGGCCCAATTGTTTCTGTTGTTTTTGTTTCGTTGGTTTTGATAGATCATAGACGGCGCCGTTAGTTGTTAGTTTTGATAGACGAAATTGTATTAGTAGTTAGTAGTTAGTAGTAAGCACCAATGTTTAGTCGTCAATATCTCATGGGTCTCAAAGAAGCAGGAAGGAATGGGAGTATACTAGAACAGATTAGAGCAGATAGTACCTTTCATCTATCCTATCTAAAAAATCATTGACAGAGAAGAGAGCGCACTAAACTATAAGAAAAAGAAGAAAGAAAAAAAAAAACCAAAAGCAGCAAACACAAAAAAACAAAAAGCTTTTCCATACCCCGGCCCCCCCCCGGGCCCCCCTTCACCCCAAAACATAAAGAAAGAAAGAAGGAAGAGTAAATACCCACATCCAGTAACAGTAATTTTAGTAGTAGAAGAAGCAGTAGTAGTAAATAGTCGAGCACCTAACAAAAATCGCCCCCGGCCCCCCCCCAAATCCCCGCCTCTAATCTAACCCACCACCCTAACTACTCCCCCTCCCACACACCCCCCACCTCCACCTTACCCACACACATAATCTCGCGCACGTCCTCCTCCTCATCGCTATTCAGCCCCAGCCCCGCCCCGCCCGCCTCGTTCCTCTCCTTCTCCGCGGCCGCCAGCTTCACCGCCACACGCTTGAAATAGTCGCCCATGCTGCGCTTCTGCGGCCCCTCGACGCCCGCAATGTACTTGTCGAACACGGCGTCGCCCTGCGCGACGACCTGGAACAGCGCGATGAACGCCTGCTCGGCCGACAGCTTCACGGGGATGATCATGTCGCGCACGCAGCTGAAGATGGTGGGTGCGAGGGAGGGGAGTCGGTGCCGGCGCCCGCCCGCCTCTGCTGAAGCCTCGGAACTGTGGAGGGGAAAAGTTGCTCCCGCATCTCATACACGGTAGTTGCTGGTCTGAACGCTGCTGTTCGTCGTCAACGAGTCTGTGTCATCGTTTGATTCATTATCAGACTCGCTTTGGTCTACGCTCGTGGGACCCAAGGAAAAGGTCCCAAC